TACAATATTTCCCAACGTTATAACAACCGGTAAGAATGTCATGTGATTTCTATAATGTAGTCAGCGCACCCATAAGTTTATGATATGTAAATTGCAATTGAAATATTTGTGTCGTAAGTATAATATACCTATATGTATTTATATTAATATAATATACTCCGTGTATTTGATTAAAACACAAAAAAACAAAAATGTAAAAAAAAAAACCCATCACTAATACGACAATAATTATTTTGTTTAAGCAGTCTGAATGTGTTTAAAGTGTGTAAAAATGTTTAAACATCTGATCCAAGAAAACAATATAGAGTAATTATTCATGTGTATATATGTAATTGTACTTGTGACTTAAAAAAATAAAAAAAAAAAAAAAAAAAAAAAAAAAAAACATTATACCTGTTTCAATTTGGTGTATTATAATATATATTAGGCAGAAACAAATTATACTCGTTTATTGCAATAAACGTACAATTTCTGGTGAAATTGAATATAAAACCATTACGTTAAATTATAATAATACAAAATATACATAATTCATAATAGTACATAAGACAAATTTAATGAAATGCAATGTTTGCGATAATAAATCGCGTATTTCATCAATATTTTATTATTTTATCGTATATTGGTGTATTTTATGGTATGATTTTCATGTAGGCTATTATTTTTTTTTGTTACTTACAGTGTGTCGAGGAAATCATTTAATGATTACGAAAGCTAAAAAACGAAAAACAAAACGTGTATAAAACATATCCCTACAGTATATTGTAAACATGTAAACATGATAGAAAACATAAAACGCCACAAATACAAAACCAAAAACAAAACACAATAATATTTTTAATCGTGTTCGCGGTGGACCGTAACATAAATCGCGTAAAAAAAAAAAAGCTACTGAACTCCTTCCGGAAAATTTTTCGAATGTAAAATTTACAAGTCAACAGCGATATCACAAAAACATCCATAATGTTAGTCTGACACATAATAATTAATAATAAAATTCCGTCAACTCAAAACAGCAGAGTCGATAGACTACTTCACTTGTCAGGCCTGTCTCGCTATTTTTGCTTGTCAACTAGATTTAGTTGAAACCACTTTAAAATGGTACAATATTTTATCATTTTCCTACATTGTCTACAATGTCGCCCATTGTACACCCCACAAAAATCACTCGTAAATAGCAAAGCTCCGTCATTAGAGTCGAATTTTCCCCCAGCCGTCTAAAATTCTTCATTTTTTTAAAATTTTTTTTCATAACTTGCATAACACAGTTACCAGAGTTTTATTCAATTTAAGTTCATCTAGGTATTTCTTGTGAAAACGTGAATTTTATTTATAATGAAAGAGTGTCTCATTTTTAAAGGTGGACGGACCCGCCCTGGTGTTGTATTTACTGGTATGCAATAACAATGCAACACCTATACACACATAAGTCGAATAATAATCCTGCTGCAAATAAGTCGACTGTGAAATATTCGTGTTTCGTATACACCTAGCTATATAAAAATTTTTCGAAAAAAAACTCGTATGCAATTAAAATCGAAAATAATGATTAGACAAACGAGTATAGTCGTGCCCATATCACCATACTCTATTCGAACGGTTCCAGACTACTACCTACCTATTGTTTCGGACAAGTTAACTGAGGCAGGTGTGTTTGTTGTAGTTTGAATTTCCAAAACGCTCGTAAATTATCACGTTAAAAAAAAAAAACCTATTAAAAACTGAATACGTTTCAACTCGAAATGTCTTTCTTTGTTTACTTTCACCCCTTGACAAAAAAATTTAAATATATTTGTATGTTACTGCAGTTTTTTAGACTCAGAGCATAGCGAGAGATCTATTTCTTTTACTACATGTGTTTTTTTTATTTTTTATTTCTGTATGTAAACATCTTTTTGAAAAGAAATCTTGCTCCGATCTACAGAGTATAGTACTTTTTCTATAAGGAAATTTTGTCTAGTTGGGCACATTAGTGGAGTCATTTATTGATTTTCCGAGGGGCTTTCGAAATAATTAGGAAAACCCAAAAGAAAATTTTAGGTAAAACGGTAAATATTTAAGACAACGTGGCTTACCGGTTTATTTATTTTTGCAATTTTTGTTTCCTACCAGAAATATTGTTCTAATCGAAAAATGATAGACCTTTTTAAAAATTAAAAAGTACGGGAAAATGTCATTATTTTAAATTTTTACGGCTTAGGTATGTTTTCTCCAATAAAAAAAAAATAAGAGATCTTTTTTGTGGCTCTTTTAATCTAGTTGGTGAACAAGAAAGTATTTTTTTGGTTTTCTCTGTGGTTTTTTAACTAATTGAACAAAACTGAAAAATTTGTAAAAAGTAACGGAAAATTACGAAAATATTTTGATATTATTTTAAATTTTGATTTGTAATGTAATTCAGTTTAAAATATTCGTAAAGATTTGAAATATTGACAGAAAACTTATATTTTCTTTTTTTAGACGTGGTAATATTTTCAAAATATTTTACCGATTTTTGAGCTATTTATTGACATTTTAATTTTGCGAATTTTAACGTAACTTTTATTCAGTAGGTATTCAGTGGATAAAATAGTTGAGTAAACAAAAATGGTTGAACATTTGACAGGAGGTCCATTGTAAGCCACACTTACTGGTCACAAAAAAAAATTAAAAAATGAATGTAATGTTGTATTATTATTATTATTATTATTTTTTTTTTATGAGAGATTTAAAATCAAATTTTTACGAAAATCGTAAATATCACGGCCTTTCAAAACATATACAATCGAACTTCACTCCGAATCATTGTTCGTTAGTTATGGTTTATCGTTATTTACAGATATAAATTAAAAAACTTTTTGTATCCTAACTTTTCAACTACTCACTTACAACAGTGGCCACATCCATCTCCAGTATCAGCTCTTTTTATTTTAGACAAATGCGGTTGTTCTTCGCAACTAATCAAATTTTACTTGCTAAAAAAATGTACGAAATCTAAATTTGATAAATGTAGAAATTTGAAACAAATTATAATATTTTGTATTCGGTTTTTTTATTTGGCTCGAAGACGATGGTGATTCTCGAGAAGGAAAATTTTGAATTCGAGTTTTATTATGAAAAAGTGAACGGAATGAGTGACCTCATATCACAGTTCCGTATAGTAATACAATATTTTTCATTTATATCGTATGGGGGGGAGAGGGTCACCTGAGGATATTAACCCAATTATAAAAGTAGGTATGAAATAAGTCAATTTATTCGTTCCAAAACAATATCGTTTTCGAGTTAATCGACTCCAGACATAATCGGACACAGGTTTTACCCAGAACATGTAAATATGCATACTAAAACTAATATAAAAATAAAATATTTGTGTGTTAGGTCCATGGTATACCTACTTTCATATTAGAATAGGTACATTTTCTGTAACATACCCAAAAAACTATAGTTAATTAATTCGTTTGTACATTTAATAGAATTAACACCAAAAATGTAACATTACAAGCATAATAAACATCAATAAGCTTGATAATACTCGTTTTTACTAAGAAAAAGTATAGATATACGTTTTGGTGTTTTTAATATGCCTAGTTATTAATTCCAACAAATGTTTTATTTTTTTTTTAATTTAAGAAAAAAAATTTGATCTTAAAAATAGACAGTAACATAAATAAAATAATATTAAATCATGACCAAGGGGGAAGTATTTTTCTAATCCTCTCTCCTTAAATGCACCACTGGTTACTTCATATTTAAAATATTTAATTAGTTACCAAAATATACCAATTTAACTATAACAAAAAACTTAAGAGTACTAAAATACACTGACGAAAACCCCCAGAGTAAAGGAAGTCCACTATAATAACCCCTACAGATGTCCATCATTATAATGGACAACGACGATTGATACTTTAATGCCCCAACACTATAATCTATAAATTTTCCCGCCTCAAAAAAATTCTGAAATTCAGATAATGCGAACACCTCAGGTCAAAGTTATCTGCAGGAAGCTAATTGCGCCTTTGAAAAATATATCACATTTCATAAATATTATTACTTTATCTTCGCATATACTATAGGCAGATCAACAAGACTCGAAAATAATGTTTTATTAACTGTAGGTATATTATAATCAACGTTATAATAATAATTACGACTTATTAGCAACGTGCTGAACAAAATACGAAAATCGTTGGAATACCCATAAGAAAATACGGGAACACAAATGAAAATTGATTGTATTATATTTTTTAATATGCGTCGTGCAGAATTCATTAACACCACACCACGTGTTGGTTTATTAGTTGGTACGTGACGTCTTTGGATTTTGGTCCAAGTATAGCTATGAGAAAAATTAAAAATAGGTTTTTCGATTATATTACGTGCAAAATGAACAAATTTCCACATGTTATTATATCATCATTATTAATTTATAGGCGATATGGACATTCGACTCAAAATAATATCTATTATCTACCTAGTCGGCAAATAACTTAAATCGAGTCTATAGAAACTCATATTAATATACATATATTTTTTTTTTTTTTTCTAATAATGTATTAAAGTATAATTTTTACGACGGTGCAAACGTCATCTATTTTAAAATTTAAAAAAATATACCTATACAAATTACTAACAATATAATATATATGTTGTGTAAAACCTAATATTTGATACAAAATGAAAATGTGTATTGTGAACCGACATTATATATTATTGATGAAACCAGCTATTTATAATGTTTATGATTTATTTATATAAACATTGAAAGTGAAGTGATAACCAATTTAAAATTTTACCAACGCACACCCGTAGATGCAAAGAGAGGAAACATAATAATTACTATGCATTAAACTGCGTATTATTTAATTTTCATCGAACACAATGTTGACACATCGCTGGGTAAATATGTATAAATAATAGCTCACAAGTGTTTGAAATATCCTCTCGAATTCTAATAACAACATCGGTTATTTAACCTATTGTGCTTACCTATTATAGTCGATTAATTTCGGAAGAAAAAACCGATAGATTTGATCGTCGGTTAGGGCACTGAGATGTTACTGCTGAGCAGTGAGCATAATAATCTTTAATCAGTGGTGTATTGGTAAATAAATTCTAAACTATACGCCTGACTCTTATTAAGAGCTATATCCCAACTGTGACTTTTTAAATATTTTTAAGCGTACAAAAAAAAAATATCTCTTTTTGGAATTTATAAATAAATAATGCTTAACAATAAGATACATCTATGGAACTTGAAATTATAAAATAAATCTTATTGTACGAGTTTTTTATTATATTTATTATATATCGAATATTCAGATATATTTTTTTGATTAATACACATATATATATATAGTTTTTCAATAATAAATTAATAAAAAAACAATTTTAATTTGCTTCACATATTTGTTTTCTGCACTTTTTTGTCTTATGATTTTTTTTTTTTTTTTTTTTTTTTTTTTTTTTTTATTATTTTAGACCTTATATTGTTGTCCATTAGTTGATCTATCTGGAAATAATCAAACTTTTAATGTCATTTTCTGAATTCTAATGGAAAACTATTTATGATATCCATGAATACACATACGTTTATGTTGTAACTTAAAAATTGGTTACAGATATAAATTAAATAACTTTATGTATTCTACTTTCCCCACTACCTACTTACAACAGTAGCCGCACCCGTCCCAATATCAGATCTTTTTTTTAAAAATATTTTATCGTAAAAATAAAATCTATCAATGCTCAATATGACGTAAGTAAAGGTATGTATAATGTAATACTTTTAAAATAACAGAATTCTGAATGCTTAAATAAGGTAATAATTAATTTTAAAACAGATATTCAGAATTTTTATAATAATGTTCATTAGTACGATTAAAAAATTATTGGGCTATAATATCGTCACGCGATGTACGGCCCGGAGTATATTTTTCTTTTATGACATTTGTAAAAAAATGTTTAATAAATTAATAGGTATTCATTTTTCTATAACTACATAACGTAATAGTGAACTGGTTACACACATAAAGAGTTTTTTGTAAACAGATAATTCTGAAAATGTCTTATATCAAGATGGATTTTATTAAAAAAAACTGTTCGTATTGTGTACATTTTACAACTTTCACTATAAATTGTAAAATGCATTATTGATACAATATATAAAATCTACTATAGTAGACTGATATTAGTTTTAAAATTGTTAATATGTTTTTCATATTTCTGTCAAAATTTTATGACAAAAAAATTATTTGAAGCCAAAATACTTGTACCGACTACCTCCGTAACTCGTAAAGATCCACCTCAAAAAAAGTCAGTAAAAATAAAAAAATAAATTTTGATCACAATTTTTGTATAAAGTGTCTACAAATATACATAGTCTGAATCTGTTGGTATTATTTTATATACTAGAAAAAACATCATACCTACCGTCGCGACGTTAAGTATCAAAATAACCTGATTAGAAGATCAATTTTGTACATCAATGCACAACATTGTCCTAAGTCGACAGACGGTAGACACTAACAATTTTTTTGTAGAAAAAATTTTATCTTAGTAGCTAATGTAAATTCTTGTAGGTACCTACGATAACTTTTATCTAACTAAATAAGTAGATATCGTTATTGGTGTTTATTTTTTTTTTTTATGACACATTTTTGTATGATAAAAAACATATGAACGACAGTCCTTTTACTGCCGACTAGTATTTGCTTTCCCAGGATACCCCTGGCGTTTAGGCCGTTGATAATGAATACGAAAATAATTGTTTATAACAAAAATATGTTCCCGTACATTTGTCCACATCTGCAGCTCGACGTACACGCAAGCGCATAGAAGCGTGGAAAATACGGTTACCCATCGGTCCAGGAAACAAACTCCATCGACGACAAATCCTATTATCCTACCGCTTTACGTTTTATTCACAAGTTCGTTTTAAATTTTATATTTTTATTCAAACAATATAAATGTAATAATTTTCTGAAATATCGTTTGAAACGTCCAAAATAGTTAGCTGAATAAGAATATAATATAACAATAATTAAAATAACAATATTTATTTACAATGTGTACAAGCTATCGGAATTAATTCGCGTCCTACGATATAGTTATGGGAGGAGAACCGGTCAACCTTCACTTTTGTTTGATTTGCTTCGTACTCAAGTTCGTGTAATGCAAACAAACGCACGCAGAATGCAACAGCCTGCAGTTAGTAGTGTTAAAACAAATAATATCGACCCGTTGTTTCCGCGGTAAAATTAATTTTTTATAAACGGTTAAAATATAATATAATCTTATAATTCTGATAACTATTTTAACAGTGTTCGACAGTGGTGAATGCGTGAGCAAAGTTATATTATTATAAAACTGCATTAATACGGGGCTTATAAGAAATTGCCGGTCAATTATTCAGTTTGGCATTTAGTTCTGTAATAGGTAATATATTATAAGACAATATTATACTAGCTGGTAACATTATGTCACCTCAATACCGTGTAAAACCGTTATGTGCATGTTTCACATCCACATTTAGTTTAAATTCGTTCCATTAAAAACATAATGTACTATAATAATTCCCCCTAAATCATACTTTTCGTATTATACATAATATGCCTGATACTAATATATTTCTTAACTCTCTATCATATTTTGTTGATAATGTATTTTATTTATTTATTCTACTAAATTTTCTCTCATTAATATTTAATAAAATCCATACTATGTAATATTGATCTGATTACAATACTGCACTCTGTACCCTTGTGGTGTTTAAAAGTATAATTAATTGTCTATTAATATTTATCGTAAATTATACATTAATTCGACTTTAATCGTCAACAAATATTGCGAGGGACTTCTTTCCATACCCTTCCCAAATGGAATTCATTCGTATTTAGTATTATTAATTTATAGATAGGTATCTACGGTTTTTCGAAGACTGTAATTCCGGGCTCTAAACTGATGAACAAATTTATAGGAGAAACTCGATGAGTTAAACGTGATGATTATTAAATGGAACGCAGACGTTGTCATGCTATCACTATTCACTATATGCAACTGTATCCTACATTACGATCTTATATAAAAATACTTAGGTTTCTCTTTAATTCTTCAACTGTACCACATAAAGGTTTTTTTTTTAACAATAAGTTACCATATTCTACATACGGACCTAAAATTAAAAACTATCCACGAGGAAGCCAAACACTTTTACAAAAGATTCCACAACCGTCTTTCCTCCCACTCGAATCCTTTAATTAAAAACCTTTCCTCCCTCTCAATCCCCGGCAGTCCTCTTAGACGTTTAAAACGCAAATGGTGTAGAGACCTGTTACAAATTTCAAAATAGAAAAAAAAAATAATAATAATATTAACTAATTAAATATTATATAATTCAATAGTTCATTTACATTTCTATACAACTATCAACATTAAAGTGTCATCATTGGGTGGCTTCTTTACTCACTTTTTGTATTTTGTATACTCATGTTATCTGTACCTTATCATATATGCTTATTATATCATCTGATATAGATTGTATATTTCGACTCAAAATAAATAAATAAAAAACAATAAGTTACACGGAATTCACCCACAAATACCTATACCTACAGGTTGGTATGACGTCGTACTTTAGTTTTTGTTAAACATTTAGTCGGTTTTATATATTAGATATCTAACCGGCTTCTCGTGAGAACCCCCGACTTCCATTCGCTACAAAACAGGTTGTAACATTAAACCACTTATAAATATTACACTGACGGAGATATTATACACATATAATTGAATATATATTCTTATATGACGTACAGCAGGCTTTCAATTTAAAAGTAAAAAACAACAAACCAAATTTAAGTTACATAACATTGTAGGGGCTGTAGGTTTTTAGTTTTAATGCTAATTAATATTTCACTTACACATCTTCGAAATAGACCAAACATCGTGTATTTGTTTTATTGTAACTTAATTTATAAGTAAAATTCACTTGAAAAAATAACGCATTCATGTTCACGGCGGTTAAGAAATTAAAGCGTTCAATGTTGCCAGAAAATTCCTCGTTATCAAAAATTATTACTATGGACATTATCTTTAAAGACCATATTACAGAGTGATGAGAAAAAAAATTCTAAATAATTTATATTACATATTATTATTATATATTATTACTAAATTTAACTATTAAACTTAAATTTACTATTTGAAGTTTTGAATCGGAGTTTTCGTGGGAAAAGAATATAGAGATTAAATAAAAAAATATAAATTATATCATGCTCACAAGACTCATTCACACAGCATACCTATATTTTATAGTTTTTTCCTTTACATCCTTTATTATCCTTTAAAGTTTAGAAAAGCAACGCTAAAATCCTTGCGGTTCTTGTATTCTGACCACTTAGGAATTACGAAAATTGTGTTATTGAATGTTACTCAATATTGTGTTTACCTAATATGAAGTCTGTGTAAAGTATATGCCATCAGACTACGGAACTTGTGTCTACTATTCAAAAGACGTTTAGTTTGGAGTTTAATGCCCCCGTTTCCAAAAAAAGTTCACAATTTCATGGTGTCACTATATATTATACAATATATTGAAATTGATTTGATATCTTATATACCCATGAAACGATCTATAATCACAATAATTAGGTAGTCTGTAGCGCAGTGTTTCTCTTCCTAAGGGTCGCGGCCCGTTCGGGGGTGGCAAACCAATTATTTAAGGTCGTCAAAAATACAGTAAAACTTCTATATAACAGTCACGAAAGGGACCGGAAATAATGATCGCTATTTAAAGGTGACCGTCCTTAAGAGGCGGTTTATAAAGGCATAATATTTGACGGGACTAAAAAAAATTACCGTTACATAGAGGTGACCGTTAGCGGAAGTTTTGCTGTTTAAAATATTGGGTCACCATGTATAAAATATACATTTAAGAGTTGCTAAAAAATTAAATAATCATTTAGGAGTCGCAACAGTAAAAAGGTTGAGATACACTAGTCTAGCGGTTAGGGCATTAAGTAGGCTGGTAAGCAGGTTAATGTTTCAGGTTTTATACCCGGCGAAAACCTCTGTAACGTGGTCTTTGTTTTGCGTTATTTGCGTAATTTCGTCGGTTCTATTACCATAAATACTCATTTCAGAACGTTACACGGATGTTATTTTTAACTGTTTTTGATAACGATACCATAATATTAATGCAATATCACTGAACAGTTGTCAATTTCAGAAAAATACGGTTGTAAAAACGTAATTATAACGTTAATAATAAAACACATTTTGCAATGTTACAGTGTGACACGTGAACGTCAATATAACGTTGTTGTATCAAAAAACGTAAGTGTCTTTTTTTGAAAATCGAGTTTTTACAATAATCCCAGTTATTATCGTTGCATACCGTACAATTTTATAAAGAGGTAATACTGGGGAAGAGTGCGGTGGGCATGAATACAAGCGGAGCCATGGAGCAATGTCCCCCCTCCAAATCTCAAAAAAAAAAAAAAGATTGGTGGAAATTATTACAAGTACACTACATTTAAATTTATCTTCAATAGAATAATATCAAAACTTGCATGAGAAAAACATTTAACTATTTTTTTTACATATTTCAATATTAGATATAATATTTGGTAAAAATGATGATATTGGTTTTCGGTCAATTCTATTTATAGTTCTGTAATTTCTAATCACGCCGGCTAACGAAGGCTTATACCGTTCACGTTATCGTCGTAGATATCCATGTTACAACCATTATTTTAATATTTTCATCCAAAATTCATCTAAAGTTCAAAGTATACGAAATTTAGTTAAAATTATTAAAGACATTATTTGATTTGTTTCTTTTTGGGCAAAATGTACTGTAGTTTTGAAGATATATACTGGCCATCAGCTATAAGATTATTATAGGATTATGTGAAAGAAATGGATTGAGAGGCATGAAAGAGTTGCTAGATTTTTACAAGATATGCCAAAAATTATTAATGCATTAATACACTTGAATACAGCTGCAAATATTATTAAAGATGCATTATAAGTTCTTTCGAGATACCATAAAAATGTTGAAACAGAATATTCAAATATGTTTAATTCATCTTAAGATTTAGCAAATATAATCGATGTAGAATTACGAATGCCCAGGTTATGTAAGCTAAAAATCGTTCAAACTATCTTACTAATAATATAGAAGACTATTACTGAATTACAATATTCATTCCTTTATTGGATAATATTATAGATGACCTAAAAACACATTTTTCACAAAGCGCATTAGAATTATTTCAGTTATATTTTTTTTTCCTTTTAATTTTTTAAAAATACCAAATGACCAAAAAGAAGAAACTAAAATAAAATCAGTTGCAAAAGATTTTCAAATATTACTTCATAAAAATAAGATATCCTTCCCAGTGGTATGCCGAAGTAGGTTTTTTTGAGGCGATTGCCTCATGACCACAATAGGTGGGTGGGTAGCTGACCAAATAGATCGAATGAGTTTTGTTTATTATATTATTTATATAAGTATCTTATTACGAATATGATAGTCTATATTATGTGGTTAATAAATAAGCTAAATAAAGCTAAATAAATAGCTAAATAAAGTTTTTTTCTGTATTTATGTGTAGTGCATGTAAAAATCCATGTTTTAATTGGGTGGGTCCAAACTTTTTTGGTTTTCCTCAAGTACGAACAATTTTCAGCACGCCACTGATCCTCCCAATTAGTTGATGAATACTATATTTGAAAAGAAAGGTAAATACGTGATTATCAAGATGATCCATCAGTAATTTCTAAGCATGCCATTGATAAATTACAGAATTGTGATGAAGATGTTTTTCCTTTAATAAACAAAATATTAGAATTATTATTTACTTTTCCTATTAGTAATTTTAGCTCTGAAAGAATATTATCTTCTTTAAGGTGTCTTAAAACATGTTTAAGATCAACAGAATGTAAAATACGTTTGACTAAACTTGAACTATTGAACATGCACAGCCCACAGGGACATAGACATCGATAATGAAAAAGTGATTCAACGATTCTCTAAAAGTAAAAGTAAACTAATATTTGCAATTTGAAAGCCATAAGAAATTAACCTTAATAAAAATTAAACATTTGATTAGAATTTATCATAAATTATTAACTATAATAATATTCAGCTTAAATGCACAAAAAGTAATGTAATAATGTAGTAATGTAATTTAATATTTTATAAGTAATAAAATAAAATCTTGAGTAACCTAAATATTTTTAAAAAGTGTTCTTGTTTATTTATGCATTTATGTCAAAACAAATTTAAATTATTTTTTGAAGTTTACTGTAGGAACTAAAATATCATGAAAAATAACAATTATTTAGGATACCAATAGTCTGAACGAAATATTTTCAATTTTGATCTCTTAAATAAATAATTTCGTCATAAATTTTGACTCAATCATCATTATCCTAATATAAACAAATATTAACATAATAAACCCTAATAATCTCTATTGATATTATTTGATGCCCCCCCCCCTAAACAAACAGCTTGAATCCACGCCTGCAATATTTCTGGTAGAAAATATATAGTTTGTAAAAAATAAAAACAATGAACTCGATAACGCCTCTGCGTGACGTAAATATTTGCCATTTTACCTATAATTTTCTTTCGGGGTTTTCTCAATTATTTTAAAAACTTATTGAAAAATTAAAAAATGACCTTTCTAATGCACTAACTAGTCAAAATTTCTTTTCAGAAAGGTACTAAACTCTGTACATCACATCAGAGCACTTTTCTTTTCGAAAAGTTGTTTACACATAAAAAAAAAAAGCGCATATCATAGTAAAACCAATAGATTCCTCGCTACGCTCCACCGAATCTAAAATAAACCGTCCACCAGATTAACACGAATATTAAGCCAAAATCACTGAGGGGTGAGTTTTTTTTTTTTAATTTCCAACTATATATAGATTCCATTTTAAATTGCCTCCTTTTTAAAAAAAAAAAACCAATTTGACAAATTTATAAAATAAACTCATATAAACTGTTCATCCCATGAAATTCGTTTCGAATTGTGTTTCCGAATTTGAATTAATCAGCGAAAAATGTCAAAATTATACAATAAATTTGCCTACCAAAATGGCCAATGTCCCCGAGCGTGTGCATAATGGGTGTTACCCATTTACACTACCCATGTGAATCACCTTATCATATTAAACGAGTACTTATGAATATAATACTAATTGTACTATATTAAAAAAAAGTTATTATTTTCATTTTGAAGAATTGATTTCGTTTTAGGTGTCGAATGCAATAATGAAGCGTATCGCGGATTTCAAAAGCGGAACAAGCGGTTACGGATATTACAGCCACTATAGATGTATAAAGAGCAATAACCTTGATTGAATTATATTATGCTATTATACTTGTAGAAATTCGATTTTGGCATATTTCGATTTCGCCGTGCGAATGCACATTGTGCGTATCGTATTTTGGAAAGTCAAATATATAGTCGCCTAAATAGTTCACCGTAAGGCTGACGCCGGTAAGTGTGCATCCAAAATTGAATGTTCAAATATACTCTCGACGTGTTATTTTCATTTCAGAAATAATGGTGAGCCGTAAGGGTGAAATGGTGCTGAAACGAAAACAAGAACTTCTACACCACCTCCGAGAATTCACAATTTTTCGACAAAAAATATAACAAATTAATTTATAAGTCTTCTTTTTTTCTCATTGAAGCACTTGTATAATCAATACTCATGTTCCCGTGTAAATTTGTTATCTTATAGAAATAAATAAAACTGTAGAAAAAAGTGCTCTAATCACTTAGGGCTTATTTGTTAAAATATAATTTTTCGATATTTGTATAGAGTATGAAAAATACGATAAGACCAAATACGATAGAATAAAAACCGTGACATTTTCGTAAACTCTAACTCTACCTATCTAAGTAAATTGACAAATTGATTTTGTTAGTTTTCATTTTTCAAAAAAAAAACGTTATCATATGTTATAAATATTCGCAAAAATATAGCAATTTTTTGTCTTTTTTTTGTCCACTAAGTTCGACTTATAATAAACCTACTGTTAAATTTCCAAGCATTTCTGTTTTAGTCTAATAATTTTATCCACAAAATACCTACCAAACCAAAATTATGTATAAAACTCGCAAGTTAAAATGTCCATAAATAGCTTAAATGTTTTGAAAGTTTTACCACGTTTAGAAAAATCAAATATATGTTTATAAATTTTCCGCCAATATATGATAATAATGAATATTTTTAACTGAATTACATTACAAAAACAAAATTTAAAATAATGAAAGCATTATTTTCCTAAATTTCCTGTTGTTTCTATAATTTGTTTCGGTTATGCTCAATTATCAATAAAACCACAGAGAAAATCAAAAAACGAATTACTTACTCACGAAGTTGAATAAAAATGTTATGTAAAAAAAAGGTCTCTTGTAGTTTTTCTATTGGAGCAATATGTATGGTCGCAAACAAATTTAAAATAATGAAATCCTCCTACCGTAATTTGAAAATATATTTTTCGTCTTTTTTTATTGTCTCAATTATTAAAAAAAACTACACTACCTATTATGAATAGGTTGTATCATTTGATTATAATTTAGTTTGTAGGTAAGCTTTACACAAATAAAGTTTACTATAGTCATGAAATTATTATCATTTATCATCAATATGCTCTCATGATTGGCATGATATGAACCTCGTGAAATCTTATATATCTGTTACAATTTTATGAACAAGTTATTCATGATAATAGATGCCAAACAAACAATTTTTTTCATAATAAGTATTACTTGATAGTCTATTTTTCTGTGCTGGAAGGAACGTTTTGCTTTCATAGGAACGAAGTTTGGAACCCGTTTCTAATCAAATATAAAAACGAGGAACCGGAACCGTGAACAAAAATGTTCGTTCCTTTTATAAAAAGAAAATTAAACGCACGTTAATTTAATGATAATATTTATAGAAGTTATTTAGTGTTGATATCACTTCGTCATTTACTAATAAATTACCGCAATATATTATGGCAAAAATACTGCAATCTTAGTTTTTCCATTTTTATCTATATAAATATGATAATATTAATATAAGCCACGGTTAGCTCTATTTTTATAATGATTAACTTGATTAAACCACATTGCACTTATTTTTAATGAAAATTAGATATCTATTACCTACACAAGTGACTATAATGAATAACTGATGAAATCCTTTTATACCAAATATGTATGTGTTTACAAAGCAAATTAATTAGTGACATTTTTATATTAAAAATATAAAAATATTTTAGACTGCATTAGACACTAATTAAAAAACTAAGTTCCTTTTTTGCGGGAACGAATTTCTTTTTAAAAGAAATTTTCCCAACCCTACTATTTTGATCAAACAACAATGATATTTTTATTAACTTTTTGATTTATTATGATCAACTTTAGTATTTTAACGTTAAGAATAAATATTTACTTATCCGTTAGTATAGAAGATTTTCCATTAATAAATCCTTTAGGAGCTGAGCTATGGTTCAATAATATTATCAATAACTTCTGCAACCCCGGAGCCCCGAGAATCGTTTTCTGTTAAATCTAATCCTTCAATGAGAATTTAAAAACCGGATCCAAAAGAGACTATTTTAATTCAATAAATCAAGCTTCTCTCTCCCCCTTGTAATTTGACTGAAATATATAATTTTAATATAAAATTACTAAATAGAAAATTCATATTTATTATATTTTTAAACCAATTTAAGGGGAGATATAACCCCTACCCCCTGCGCCAGCCACTGCAGTCAGAACAATAGCAGTTTCAACCGAAACTTTCCCTTCGATTATTCCGATGGATATCGAATTTGTAGTGAAACGATAAGAATTCTGAAAGCAGATTTGGTTTCCCCGCGAAATGTACATGCAATTTTTAATTAAAAAATAAAAAAAACATTTTTCCATGATAAACATTATTAAAAAAACGGACATACCTTGCACAATGGGTACAGCGGCTGTCCGTGAGAATATTAGAAGGTAGGATATAGAAGGAAAATTAATTTGTATCTGTATAAGCAACGACAAACTGTTGCTTACTAAAAACGATTCTGAGCAGAGTTCAGTTGATAGCGATGCTTTGTTAACAATATATACGTCATATTATGGTAAAATAATTAAATAGGCATTATATATTTTCTTTAATAATACTTGTTTAATATTGTAGCGATTTTCCCATTTTTTCTAAGTTTTCCTCGGTTTTTCCATTTTTTCCCGGTTTTTAAATTTTCTGGGAAAACTGCCGGAAAAATCAAAAAAGTACCACCCCCAAGAAAATTTCCTTTCAGAAAACGGTCAATATCGTAAACATCGGAGTAAGCTTTCAGGTGGAAAAAGTGTTCGCATAAAAAAAAAAAAAAAAAAACATCAAACATCTTTGTAAAACCAATACATTCTTCGCTACACTCGGAATCTAAAAAGTTTTTGTTGGCTTCCTGAAAAAAAAAAAAAAAAAAAAAAGTGAAATTTGATAGACGCCCCTTTTAACAAAACACCGTCGATATATTATTGCCGTGAACGCCGCGTACATTACAATATAATACGACGGCGTTGGACAACGAGAACAAAATGTGCCACCGATATCCGATCTTCTTGGCGTTACGATGGGACGCACGTACAGTAAGTATTGACAAATATTAACGACATTGTTGTTACGAACGCCGGTACGTCGTTAAAAACAGTAAAATATTATTAACGTTTTGTTGTGAACCGCGATGGCGACAAGAGCGGGGAATAAAAAGGAACGACGAGAAAATATTAAAGAGTCCGGGTGGAACAACCTTGGCGTGGACACGGCCGTGCGCGCGCGCGCGCGCGATCGAGCGACGCCTCCGCGGCCGCAGACGAACGTCGACGATTGCCGTGTCCCGTCCATCGACTTCCACGGTCGATAGCCGTTGCACGCACTAGCCGCAACAACCCAAACGCAGTCGTTGCCCGGACGTTAACGTAACAAGTTTTTATATATTTTTTTTTTTTTTGATTTCCGTTTTCTGGACCGTCTCCCTACCCCTCACTCTTACTCTCTCTCTCTCTCTCTCTCTCTCACCGATAATTCCGTATATTATTTTCGCTGTACAGACCGTCAGTTCCGACCGCCATGTTTAGCGGTAAATGCACGAGCAAGGCCCGGCTCGACGGCAAGATCGCCATCGTCACCGGATCGAACACGGGCATCGGCAAGATCACGGCGAAAGAATTCTACAGGATCGGTAAGCCGGCGACGGGTCGTCAGGGGAAGGGCGCGCTCGCCCGGCGCGACTAAAATTTTATATTCTCGGAGCGTTTACACCGCGCTGATTCTATACCTATCTATTAACACTGTCGAATGAGCTAAACTCGGGTTGATTAGTCGGATTGGATCGAATACTGCATAAATACACTCGTAGTACTTGTAGTACGACGAGTATTCGTAGTGTTCGAGTAGTTCGGGTCTGTCGATCCGAAACGGGGGAACTTTTGATCCGATATAGGCTTACAATGTAAATATACTATTGCCATATCATTTGTCGCATTCCTGCGCGCCTTAATCCCGCGGTCTTTTCTATCTTATGTCTTGTATCTTCTTGTTTTGTTTGCCGTCTTTTAATAAGTGACCACGGTGTAAACAAAGCACAGTGATAAATGATAATAATAGTATTATAATCGTGTACGCTGGCGTCGAAAGATCGTATCGTCATCGTGCACAACTTGGTAACACTGATTCTATCTCGATATAAAGATACCTACATCGTTTATTAGTATGCCGGGACATTTTAAACAAAATAACAATCAAACGTGTGCGACTAATACACAAAAAAAAAAAACCTTGAAATATTCTTTTAAGTTACGTGAACATAATATCCCCTCTCTTTCCGAAAGTGATCGCGGAGTGTTTGAGAATTACTGATATTCTCTCCGATATCTGTACGTTCCCCTACTTTATCTGAATACTTATAGTATATCATGGGTACGCAAAGAAAATAATAACATTATCGTGCTGCTGCAGAATACGTCTCCTCTACCTCCCTCCTTCTCGTGGTCACCAACATAAACACGATTATGAATTTATTAACTACATAGATTTTAGATTCAGAGTGTGGCGAGGAATGTATTGGTTTTACAAAGATGTTTATTTTTATACATATATATATATTGTGTACAAAAATTCTATCAAAAACCTTGTTCCGTTACATTATGTACATTATGCTCAATTTATTTGTACATTCTAATACTTATCAATAACTTAAAAATCTTCTAGAAAAGTCGTATGTAACTATGTAATTTTTTTCTGAAAATTTAGGTGTCTAAGGTTTTTTATTTTTTTATCAATTGTTTTTGGTATCTCACGTTTATTTCGGAAATTAAATAGAGCTTATTATTAAATAAAATCGATACTATAATATTATTACGTTAAATATCAAAAAGTTGACATAATTCAACCATTATAGAATATAGATAGATAACAACGGAAATATTAACATAAAATAATGTCTGTTTTCTACCGAAAAAAAAAATAATTTATAATAATAAAAAATATCTGTTAAACTATTGTCGAATACTTTTTGTCTTTAATAAAAATTCGTCTATATATTAGACGTATAGAATCTACAGGGTTATCTAATACCTAATCCTAATAAGGCGGTTTTAATTCAAATAGTAAATTATTACAATATGTGTTCATTTTTTTTGATTCTGTAAATCCAATAACAGTTCAGCAGATCTTTTCCCAGTAGACTACCCTTTCCGCATGAACGGATGAGTTACTTTCAAAAATTTCTTTTGCGTCAACAGTATCGACAATGTCGATAGTTAATAATTGTTACGACCTATTGTTTTTGTACAGATAAAATTGATCGTAATAGTATGGCTATTAAGAAAATAGTGGTTAATGACATTGGACAATCGCGTTAAAAGAAAAACAACGTATCAATAAATATATAGGTAAATATTGGTACAAGGTTAAAAACCATAATATGATACGATGATTTTTTTGGGAAAAATACAATATTTTATGATAATATTAACATTATTCCAGGGTCTCAAAACGTTATTTATAACGTTGTAACGAGAAAAAAATTTACGAAATCAATAAACGAAAGATAAACGAATAAAGCGAAAATCGTTAAACATTACGTATCATAATTAATGGTTATAATAATAAATAATAAACGTAACTATATTAATGTGAAAAAACAATCGTAAATAACATTACTGGAAATAACGTATGAACTTTTTTATTTTTTACGCAAGACATACTTAAAATATATTACATTAAATATAAAAGAGTTCATATTTAAACATAAACTGGACGAGATAACAATAATAATACGAGTAAATACTCATTTTGGAGTGATTACGACCGGCTCACTCGACTTCAGTAAGTAAATCAATTCGTTTCTGTAATTCCACTTATTCGTCTTGTTTATGTTCAATTTAATCGGTACAGTTTGGTGTAAATAATAAGTATGCCATTTCAGATTGCATTATAAAACCTGTTATTGACAGTTGTAGATATTTCGTCATATACCTATTAATTTCATATTATGTTGGAACAATATTTCAACGTTAAATATAACGTTTCAAAAAAAAAAAAAAAAACGAAAAACTAAAATAACGTTTAAAAACATAATAACGTTGGACATTAAAATTGTATAAAGTTTAAATACTCGAAAACGTAAAAACGATAATTTTTTGATACATTAAAAGCACTGCGTTAATTCATAAATATTTCGTTAAAATTGAAATCTCCAAAAGGCGCATTATCCTCGATACTAAAACGGTGGCGGTCAAATGATTTGGTCATGAGGGAGGGCTAAAGATAATTTTTTAACAATTATTATTATTCGCGTAATATTTTGTTTTTTTGTTTTTTTTTTTATACATAAATATGTGGATAATATGATAAATATTGATGGGAGGGTAACGAGATCATATCGGATATATCCTCCTGGTCACTCTTCCGTCTGACCGCCTCTACTATACGACATTTTCGTCCTACCCTACCCCGCACCCCCCTAACGGATGATGTTCATTCGGGGGATGCGCGCGTAATACGCGGATGTTCGAAAAGCTAATATAATAAACGCCCTACTCACGCGACGACGCGACATTGAAATTCAACGCGACTTTCGTATCGTTTTCAATACGCCCGTACTTATATGTGTACGTAAAAAAAAAAAAAAAAACCACAACTCTATGCATGTATATAAATACAATTCCCCCGTGTTCGGGCGGCTCGTTTTCGCGGAGGGGGAGTCGATCGAAACCGTCCGGAAAAGCCGGTGAATGCGCGTTATGCGTTCGGTGTCCGTACAGCGACGGGGAAAAAACGGTGTCGACGAATCGCCGACGTGTTATTTTTATTTCATTTTTTTTTTTTTTTTTTTTTTTTTATCAATACGTCGGAAAAAAATTCGATACGCCCGTCCCCGGGCGCGCGCAACATAATCGAATTCGGGACACTGACACGCGGTTTGCCGGTTTCCCGGACCGCCACGCGAAACGTCATAAACGGCCGACCGATTTCGGGGCCGCCGCCGTCCGTCCCGCGGATATCCGTTTCCCCGGGTGGGCGGCGATTTGTCGCGCGTTCCCGTCCGCGGTCGCCGCGCGGAATTTCGACAATTTCATACGCCGTCGCGTACAAAAAGCCGTTGTAGATTAATTGACAGTGCAATAATCGTACGGCGCACTAACACTAAAATTATCCGATTGAGTATATAATGGGGAAAAAAAAAAAAAAAAAAAAAACGTTCAAAAAAAAATACCGACTTAATATAACGTTTATGACGTTTACGTGGTAACCGACGTTAAGGCTCGTCCGTTATTTAATCGTGCGAAAATGTACGGGGAGGGGCCGCGCGACATGTCCGCCTGGAAATCGTTTTTCGAAACGTATTTATTTTCGGCGACGCGACGTAATCATCGATATTTTTACGACGGTGCAGACGACGTAAACAGAAGTAATTATTTCCTATAATAACGTAATTATTATTATAGAGGTAGGATTTTTTTTTTTTATGATTTTACATTACACGTTATTCCTGTCGATGTACGTACATTTAATGTATGCAATTAATACTTTAATTAATTTTGTTTCACACGAGCCATTAGTTATTGCGCTATCACTAGCGTATGATAATTATAGCTAGTTTAAATATCGTGTGTAATCTAGTGTAGGCCGTGTTGAATCCGGACAACTTTTCTGGGGGGGGGACCTTATTAAAATTATAGTAATGACATTACTCTGTTTTTTTTTTTTTTTTTTGCTTATCTACCCTCTTACTAAGAACGGTCAAATTTACTCACATTTAACAGGGGGATGGGAGGCAAACAAAATTCCAGAACGGCTATCGCCCTCCTATCATGTACCTAGATTCAGCACTGAATGTAGGTACTGGAAATTGTCACACCGCAATATGTATGATACACTATAAAAGATACTAGAGAAACTAGCAGTAAAAATTATCTTAATTTTGCTACTCAGTCGTGATAACATGTAATAAATATTAATCGAAAATTTATGTATTCTTATTGGTCCCCGATATTTCTATGCCCGTAACTGGTGTGGAAAATATGACGTGTTCTATTATATACGTGTATACTGGCTAGCGTGATTCCTTTAACCGGCATACTATCACACTATTCATATGGATCCATAGAGTTATAACTCTATGCATGGGCCTAAAAACTAGGTGAACTAGGTCCGTGTGAAACGGACTTTAGTGAGCTATCTTTACGATTCGTGAAACAGAATCCAAAAAAAAAAAAGAGATTTTCAGTCAATTTTAATTATTAATTATTTTTATAGTTGTGTTTGTTTTTTTACAGAATATTAAATTATAATTTTTTATTTTCAAGGATATAAAGCTTCATATATCTATTACTAGAATATTAAAATAAAGTTATAGTATTTATTGTTTGTTATGTAAAAACACTATATCAGAATGTAAATCCAACCTCTAGAAGGATAATTTTAATGGATTTGTTATGCAATTTTCCGTCGACAAAACGGCGATGGCGGTCGGGCGCGAAAGTAGATATTTATTTATTTATTTATTAATACGGACAAAAGTCCAATTCACAATATATTTGTACAGATAACAATAATATAATACAATTTAAAACAATAAAATATAACATAATAAAAAATGAAAAGATTAATATATCGAATAATACGAGGGTTGTCCCAAAAGTAATGCACAACGCGCTCTAGCTGTCTTGCAATGTGATATTATCAGCTGATTTTAGTATCAGTTTGTAGCTTAGTCTAACGAACTGTTTTTGAGCAACGCGCATACATTAAAATCGAANGAATAACATCACCAAGAGCAAAAAAAGTTCGTCGCCAGCAAACAAAGGTGAAACAAATGATGATTTTTGCTTACGATAAACTTGGGATAATTGTCACTGATCGAGTTCCAATTGGCAGTAGTGTAACCGGGGATTACTACAAAACATTCCTTACCGAAAAATTACGACCAGAAATTCGTAAAAAGCGACCAGGAATGTTACAAAATGGTGTGTCCATATTGCACGATAATGCGCAGCCGCATATCGGAGCACCAGTCGTCGCTCTTTTGGAGAAATATGGATGGGAACGCCTCAAACACCCACCGTATTCGCCGGATTTAAGTCCCCCGGACTTTGATTTATTTCCAAAACTGAAGGAACCACTTAGAGGGATCCGTTTTCCCAACTTAGATATACTAAATGAAGAAGTGAGCCGAAGGATCCGTGAACTCAACAATGATGGCGTCCTATGCGGCATTCAAGCGCTCCCGAAACGATGGCAATCGTGTATAGACAAGCAGCGAGATTATATCGAAGGTCTATAATATTGTATTTAGTTTAAAATAAAAACTTATTTATTCAGAGCAAATCGTGCATTACTTTTGGGACAACCCTCGTAGTAATAATAATAATAATTATAATAATGAATATAATAATAAAAATACATTCAATGTTTAATAAAATAATCAACAATTTCCCGAAGACATTAAAATATTTATGGGGTCATATGACGTAAACTTTTTATTAACTTAATATTATCATATTATATACGACTCAACCAGAATAAAAACGTAATTTCAAAGCAATATTTATCGTTTTTTTCCTTTTTTTTACCTAACCTAACCTAACCCGTTTAAAATAATCATGAACTCCTAAAGCTTTGTATACGAGTATCCACTGGAAGGAATGACACCTTCCACTCCAAACTAAGAAATTCACACTGCTGAGTCGGCAATTCAACGGTAATAGTTAAATTGTAAAGACGGCAAAACTAATAAGTAGTTTCTTAGTGATACGTAATATTACCTATGTATTATTATGGTATTACTTGTCGAAGGACAAAGTAATTTGAAGTCTGCAAATTGTTAATTACGCCCCTCCATAGATTTTTGTTAGCGTTGACTCTGCCGCCATAATTAGAATTTCTATATGTATACTAAAATAATATCTTTGGTTCCCAGGAAGAAGGGCTTACATTAATTTTTTTTTACAATTTCTATAATTATAAAATAATTTGAACCAATTTTGCTGTAATTTTTAATTTTTACATTTTATAAAATTGACTTAATAAGGTGTCAGAGTCTCCGAATATTTCGTTCAAAAAATTGCTTCATAGGAAAAAATTTCATGTCTCATTGAATAGTTGAACATTCTGATATGAATTTGTTTTGATTTAGAAGAGAAAGTATTTTTGTAGTTAACACTGATCTCTGATTCTAAAAATTTAAATTCCTAGAAACTGTATTTAGCTTCTTAAGAATTCCAATTTTTGTTAATCAGAGTTAAATACGATCCATAAAACGATTTTCTCTTTCAAAAATAAAAAAAATATCGAAATTGTAGCGTGATTAATTGGTGAAAAATTTAAAAATAACAATTTGTTTTTCTTTAATTTATCGATTGCAAAATATATTTTACATTACCTATATATTTGCAATATATATGGCAAATATATTTTGAACACCATGATCAAAAAGGTTATACCTGCTAATAAGTACTAGCAGGTAGGTATTGTTACAATGTATCCACGTTAAGTATCTATCTGCTATACCTATAGTCTTTATTTATCTCATTTTTTATCACTGAACTTCAGTTATTTGGTACAATAATTGCATTAATCAGTATTCAATTGTGGGTACCTACGTCTTTACAGATCATCTTGTGAAATTATTTTAAAAGCGATAACCTTTACTATGTGTTGGCAATAATTTTAATCGTATTTGTTTACATTGCATTGACAACAAAAATGTATGACTAATATAAGTATCTATAATATTTTAAAACTGTATGACTAATCATATTACTAATATTTCACTATTATCATTAACATTAATGTGATAAAACTAATATCATTTTTGTTGTTCGATCAATGGCGATTACGCACAAATGTATAATAGTTAATAATATAATATTTAATATAAAATATTGTATTTTAGTAACGCGTAAAATTTACCAAGTACCGACCTATTTTTAGGCGTGTAGTTTTTTTTTAAAACTCGTATGAAACGTGTTCAAAAGTTTGCGAAAAAAAATTAAATCCCCGGGCATTATACAAAGAGATGATCAATTCTAGATAAGATACTATCATTAACTCGGAAAGTATACTTTTTTCGAATAATTTAAGAAACAAGCCGCTCTAAAATGTTACCTACCTGCATTTCTGTTATTTTTTTCACACTTATTTTTCTGAGTGAAACTACGGGCGCATCCTGGTTGGGTTCCAGATCAAAAATCTATACTAGTTGGGTCCCGGGTTTCCACAAGTAATACTAATCTAATCAACTAGTATCATAAAATTAATATCTAATAATTATAATAGTTTCCAAGTTTAGAAAAATAAAACGCAATGATAATCCTATAATATCTACCAGTTTATAAAAATTTTAAAAAAATAACCCAAATAGATACTCACGTTCAAATGAGAGGTTTAGAAAAATGAAATGAAGGGACTGTATTTAAAAAAAAAAAAAAAGAATATAAAGTATGAAACGACAAAAAAAATTACTGGCAACATAGAACCTAAGTACTAACATTTTAAAACTGATTGTTTCATAAATTGTTTGAAAAAAAATTAATGCTTTCCGAAACAATGAGTATCTTAACGAAAATTAACCGCCATTTAGGTAACGGAATCGTGTAATTTGCAATGCAATTCGTTCTGTCGTTACCCATATCACAACTGCTAAACGAAAATTTCAGGAGCAAAAGTTATAGTGGCGTGCCGAGACGTGAAAAAGGGGGAACAAGCCGTTTCGGATATTGTGGCGGACGTGAAGGGCGACAATCTCGGTCAACTGGTCGTCGAAGAACTGGACTTGGGGTCTTTCAAGTCAATTAAGCATTGCGCCAAAAGAATTTTACAAAACGAAAACCACATTCATCTGTTGGTGAACAATGCCGGTTAGTGCGTGATGTGTTTTTTTTTTAAGTGCACCGACAATTGAGTATACCAATTATTTCAATTTTTTTAGGCGTGATGGCGTGCCCAAAGAGTACAACCCAAGACGGTTTCGAAACACAATTCGGCGTAAACCACTTGGGACATTTTTTGTTTACGTCGCTGTTACTGCCAAGAATACGGAATTCGACGCCAGCTCGCATCGTAAACGTGTCGTCACTTGCACACACGAGTAAGTTTTTTTCACACCCGACGAACCTGTACGCTTAACCCGATTTATTTTCACCCTTCTGTTTTGAACAGGCGGCGTTATTAATTTCGACGACTTAAATTACGAGAAGAGTTACTCGTCCATGGCGGCCTACGGTCAGAGTAAACTGGCCAACGTATTGTTCTCGAAAGAGCTGGCACGGAGACTCGAAGGTTGTCATTAAAACTTTTGAACTAATTATTAATAATTGCATTATTTCGGAAACACGATCAGTGTTGTGCGTTATCTATGTAAAACAGATAGTCCGATTCGTCACAACAACTGAATAATATACCAACCTAATATATTATGATAATATTTATAGGTACTGGAGTGCATGTGTACAGTCTCCATCCCGGGATCGTGCGCACTGAATTAGGCCGAACGATCGACCAAGTGTACTTTCCGGGCATGAGGCTCTTGGCTAATTTCTTTCTCTATCCGTTCATAAAGACTCCCGAACAAGGAGCTCAGACCACTTTGCATTGTTCAATAGACGAAAAGGCAGGAGAAGAAAACGGTCTCTATTACAGGTTTGGATTTTTTCAACGTTCAAACGCTTAACATTCAAATTTCACAAAGATAATAAATAGATAAGGTCGTTTTTTTTTTTTTTTTTTAGCGATTGTAAAGTTAAAGAACCATCGACGTTTGCCAAGGACCCGGAATTGGCAAAAAAACTTTGGGAAAAAAGCATAGAATTGGTCGGTTTAAAGGATTACGATATGTTCAACTCCGATGATAGACTTCCTGAACCTTTGAAAGACATCGTCGTATCATAATAATATCTCATTATTTTATTTTTTTTACTCAATTTACTTATGCAAACACAATAAAATAAAAAGTTATATATTTTTATAATAAAGGAATTTTGTTTAACAACCAAGTGTTGACAATTTTATATACCTAACTATTTGTTTGTTTTATTTAAACGATATTCACGTATTTTTTTTCATCCTTCATAAAATATGAACACAGACTCAAAAAACATACAAGTGAGCCCTTATTTTAAGTAGATATCAAATTACAAGTCGACATGCTGGTAGACTTTCATAGGTTATATCACGTGTGATGTGTATGATTTCAGGTGAACAAGATGATTAAGTTTATAGACCATGATGCGGACGAAATGAAACAGGGTATTGACGATTTAGCGGAAGAAACATTTTATGCAGAGAAGGAAAAGTTAATAAGCATAGGTATAACGGAAGTTGATCAGTTGTACAACAAACAACTTAAACTTATAAACAGGGAAACGGCAACGTGAGAATTAAAAATACCATAGGTTATTAGCAAGGCTCGTAAGTTGGTGCATTTATGTTTTTTTTTTCCACGTGGGAAAATGAAATTTTGAACAGTGCATGTTTTGATTGAATATCAACTGGCTTATTTGGCACATTTTTCGTGTTAATTGAGAAAATTATTATTTTCTTTCCTGAACACGTTTAAAAAATCCAAAATATTAATATTTGTTATGGTTTATTTTTATTCTTGTATGGATTTATAAGTTTTACAGCGGTAACACAAAATCAATGTTATGACTACAACTCCCTGTATCGGTATTGCAATCAATCAATCAATACCTGTTTATTTTCGTTGCAATGAACTTGAATACGCGAGTAATATTTCCCACCCTCCCGTAATCTTAATTGTGGCAGCCGTGGATAGCGTGAACAAGCATGATAACAGTGTGAAAAAATCAAAATTTGACATTTCTTTTCTTTTAAATTTATAATAATTGAAATCAAAATAAATTAAATTAATTTTTCAAGAGAAAAATGATTTTTTTTTTTCACAATATTTAAATATTAGTGCATATAATTGCATTATTTTCAAACTTTTAAATGTTTAGTTACATGTTTTTTAATGAGTTTTTTAGTGCATGAACCTACGAGCCCTGGTGATTAGATATGTATATTATTATAATATTATTTTTTTTATAATATAGAATAATCTCAACTTTGATAACTAGTGCTAAATTACAAATATTACAAAGCAGAGATCAACATATTAAATCGGTATTAGCCGATGTTAACAAAGAACTAATTAAAATGCGCGATAAAAATTGTTATAAACATATTCTTAAAAATTTAATACTACAAGCAATGTACCAAGTAGATACAGATTATAATATTTTATCAATAAATTAATATTTGTATTATATAATATATTCATTCAAGATTTTAGAAGAAAAAGTCAACTTCATTCTTATATTAAATGATGTCCCATACGTGGAATCAATGACTCAAGAATTGGAAAATATATATAGAACCAAAACGGGAAAAAATATTGAAATAAAAATTGAAAATAGCTCAAATTTACCGATTCAAGAAATAGGAGGTGTAATAGTGACTGCTAAGAATCGTACAATAATTGTGGAAAATACAATGGTTCTGCGTTTATTGAATATCGGCCAACAAGCCATACCAATTATACGTAGTGGGCTATTTGGACCAAATCCAACAAGAACTCATTTAAGCTTTACATTATAATCAAAATGTATTACACTGAATAATGTTTAAAATATTATTAAATACATTATAGTTTAAGAACAGGTTTATAAAATAGTAGGGTTAAGTTGTACTAAATTTGTATAAGATCTTGGGCATTTATTTCTGCTGGGTTTGTGACATCATCACTGAAACATTTACAAAATTCACAGTAAATAAATGTTATTTTATTTTTATTAGATTATCTTTTAAAATTTACTTTATAAAAATTGTATGTGATGGTTCAGAACATTCAATATCTAAAAAAAAATTTGATTAGATCAAATGAAATTTATTCAATTGTTTTCTGATTATAAATACCTGTGTATAGTAGACTTTGGGCTTCGGGTATTTTTTTATTGATTGGAAACTTCACACCCTCACCAAGGCTGCAGGATAATTATTAATTATTAATGCATGCAGTTAATTGAGAGATAAAAAATCAAATACTTAATAAGCTAATAGGAATAGTAAAATCAAAGAACATTTACAGAATGCCGAGTTTTGTGTAAAAAAAAAAAAAAATAAATAATAATAATTAGGAGTAAGGAGATTAAAATAAAAACAACGCTTTTGTAAATTTGGTTAGATAAAAAAAAACTGATATTATTTCATACCGTTATTTATACAAATTAAAAACATATTAAGTAAACAAGCATTACCAAAAATGTACAAAATGTCAAAAGTATAAAATTGCTCACATTATTAAATAAATTAAAATTAACGTATATTAATAGGCTAACATCATCAATAAAATTAAAAATAATTAAATATCTATGTGAATTTTGCATCTTTTAAAATAAAATTATAATTAATATAGAAAGTGTGAACACAACACAATACTGACTTGAGCCTAAAGTATAGTTATTATTTAATCAATTTTATTTTTTTTTTTATATATATATATATATATTATTATTTAGAATAAGTACTAATTTACTACGTTTACATGGTATAAGGTAAACCATTCTTAAATTAAGTGTGTATACATAATGTATTATTAAACTGCTTTAACTTTTAAACTGTCTTGAAGTGTGCATGTAAACGTAGTAATTGTTCCTTGGAATATAAAAATGATTTAAACAGTGAACGGTCTGCTGGATTTGTTTGGTGATTGCCTAACTCTATCATTGGACCTCAGGTCGCTCGCCAACGGATAACTCACACCATCCCCCAAACTAGAACAGACAAATTAAAATACAGGTATCGTATTACGAATATCGATACGGTGTAATCCCAGGAAATATTTAAACTTCTCACATACAAAATTGTTAAGATAACGTTAGAATGGCTGATATAACAGAGGGTACTACATAACTAAGATAGTAATATGTAATTTAACATACTTTATAAAATTATAATTAAAAAAATGATCATTATAAGCCTTTCTGTACGTTCTCCAAACTATTTCATAATAATTAAATGCACTTAACCACATGATAAAAACAATGTTAATCCTACGAAGAACTTTCTTGAAGAATATGGTCAATAAAGCCAATAAAATTTAATAAAACATTGAAATATACATAAAATAATATAACATATATATGTAAATGCTATTTAAAAACACAAACAGATGTCTAGAGAAATTTACTGTTTAGATGAAAAAAGTGTATGGTTTTAAATATATTTTTATTTTAAAAAAAAATTGATTTAATTTATAAAGTAAAGCTTGATTTATTCAGTCAGGAATTTTTCCAAATATTACATTATATGTCAAACTTCTAATATATTATCGTTTAATATTTCATTTTAATTGTTTTATCTTGTAACCAGAAATTATGTAAATATTATAGTCCCTTAAAATCAGAAATTTATTTACTTCAACTACATTTAATGACAATAGTATAAACTTTTCAAATCACCAAATATATTTATTACTTTAACAACAATGAAATATACTTGAAAATAAATAATAATATTTCTTGGAACAATTTATAAAATTTAAGCATACTCTAAGCATACTTTTTACTAAAAATGTATAACAAAGGAAACACAGAAGGTAATGAATATGTATCATATGCAAAAAATGAAAATAATAGTTATATCATAATTGACTTACACGTTTCCATAAATGGTAAGTGCATTTAAAAAATAAATATTTGTTTTTTTAACTCACCTAGTACGTATTGGAAAAGGCCATAGAATAACTTCTTTACCAAACACTTCTTGTATATTTTTACAACATCCCAAATTGAATCCATTTTTATCAGAACCTTCTGAAAATTTAGGAGGACGGAAAGCCTCTAAAAATAAAAAAAAAATTACTTCACATGCTAATAAGTTATGAACACTTATTAAAAAAGCATTTTTAAATAAAACTATCAAAATAAATAAAGAAGCACTCTTAAATTTCATATTAGAACTCATCTTAAAACTACATTTGCGGATTTTTATCACCCCATGTCCAACGCGATAAGTTGTTTAAATAGTAACACGATAAAAATTTCCATAGCACTACTAGATTTAATATCAAATAAAAAACAAAACAACAAATACTACAAGTCCTGAACCCTGCTTATGAATATCATTAGGTGACAGTTTGATATGTCATCTGTTCAGCAATTACCATCAATACATTTACATATATAATACGTATTTATGGTATTTAAACTGTTAATTGTAAGAAATGTTATTATAATCATAAAATATTTATCATCCATCTAAATACAAATTAACAAATCATATTTTTAAAATACACAAATATTGAAAGCTTAATTAATTGTACTAACCCACAGTCATGTTCAATACCAGGTGATCCATTTAAGTAGGTAAACTCATTATCTCAGAAAGTATTAACTTTTTTGGGAATTCATTTTCTAGTACATTTAAGAACCAAGCAGCTCTACAATTTTATATTTATGTTTTTTTTTCACCCTTATTTTTGGGGGTAAAACCACTACGTATTTTTGATTTTCAAATGGCAACCTATATTAAAATGTCCATGAATAGATGGAATATTAGTTAAAATAAATTTTAGTGTTGACATTATTGATTTCCGTCTGACCATTGAAAAGATATTACACTTTAAAGTTTACAGCATGAGGCGTGTTGCATGTTCAAAATGCACCACTACTCTCCTCCGACCTAAACTTAAAAGCGGATTATCTCGTTAACAGATAGACAGAAATTAAAAATGTCAACACCAAAATTTATTTTAACTAATATTCCATCTATTTATGGACATTTTAATATAGGTTGCCATTTGAAAATCAAAAATACGTAGTGGTTTCACCCCCAAAAATAAAGGTGAAAAAAAACATAAATATAAAATTGTAGAACTGCTTGGTTCTTAAATGTACTAGAAAATGAATTCCCAAAAAAGTTAATACTTGTCGAAATAATAAGTGTACCCACTTAAATGGATCACCTGGTATTGTTTTCTAGGTAAACACTGATAGACATGAAGTTATAGTTAATGTGATAGACAATACGGGAAGAACTATATTAAAAAAAAAGCTTTTAATGGCACTTAAAGAATATTATTAACCATTTGACATTTCTAAAATAGGGAGAGTAAGGTAAGTGAATCACATTTAATGTCAATATTTTAGTGAACATTACATATCAAATTATTAACTATTATTATAATAATTACCTAATGTAGTTCGATTTTTTGAAACCAAATAGATATGATATGAAAACAATGAGAATACACTTATTGAAAACATTGCAGCAATAAAGAATAGGAATACTATATGAATTTTTCCTTCTTCTTGATTTCGCTGAAATTTTAAAAAAAAATGTTTAAATTATTCTTATTCTTACTAATTTATTACATACAAATAATACTGATATAGTTCAATATTAAACAATAGTTAAACTATTTTAAAAGAAATATTTTATTTTCATTGCTATTAATAGTTTGAAATTTGTTATTTAATATGATTGATGAAAATCAATGAATTAAAATTATATTGATAAAAACTAGAAGATTAATTTCTATACTTAAAATTCAACAATAATAATTAATGACATATTATAATACTTGTAGTAGACATTACTTTAGTTGATTTCTATATATTAGGAATAACAAAGTTTAATAGTTTAAATATTGATCATTAAAGAATTTATATTCATTGGCAATTTATTAATGGTTTTTTTTTTTTTTTTAATAACTATAATTAACTAGTATACTGCCCTATTAAGCAAAGGAGTCCAAAAAAAAAAAATAGAAAATGAGTTACATGCATCAAACCAATTGTAAAATTCAGACTTCTTAAGTAAATATGTTTATGTTTGAAAAATTATTCTACAATAGACTATTAGCAATATTTCTTTTGACAGGAGTTTATACTTATTACAGATTGTGGTTTTACACAATGTGACATGTGTAAAATATATCTGTAACCAATAGATCATCAAAATATATTAGCAATAATATAAATTATTAATATATGTATAATATAAAAAGTTGGATAAGTACTTTAAAATTAATTAATTCATATTTATTTATATTCCATTGCATATATCAAGTAAAATTACATATGAAAATCCATATCATATTTTGATAAAAAAAAAATGTAAGAGGTATTATGAAGTTCAGAAAATGTAAAATATATAAACCCGTTATTTCTCAAAAATGTTCTCGTGATTTACAGCGTTTTTGCATATGAGGGCAGTATAAATGATAATTTACCATTATTTTAATTTAATTTGTTTTATTAGTTTGTTAAAATTACTATAATATTTTTTATACAAAAATTACCATATTCGAAGTAACATCCCAGAATTTAGCAACATATTCTCCAGTTGTAGCTACCACATAAATACACATCAGAAGACCATAAGCCAAAAACAATATAAAATACTTATAGTTTGTATACGACACGCAATTGTTAACCCATGGACAATGGTGATCCATTTTTAATACACATTTACGACACACACTACAATGGTGTGACCTGTCAGGTTTCACTATTCTACATTTATCACAGAATCGAATATCTGAAAAAAAATGTTCTACTATTTTAGTCAAACACTGATTCTTGTATACAATTGTGGAAACACAATATAAAATATGAATTATTACCATTAGTGTTTGTAAATGTCATGATGGGCAAATTTTCAGCAAAGTCACGTAAGATAGCATTTTGCCTGGGCAGGTTTATAGGATTTTTATTGAAATCATCAAATACTTCTTCTGACAGTCTGAACTGTAAAAGTGACTCAGCATTATGAAATAATACAATAAATAGACAACAAGTATTACTTTTAGTGGTGCGCCGCCTGGTTCTGTGAAAATTGTTTTGAAGTAAGACCATAGGAAGAAAAATAAAATGACATGGTACATTATCAGATAAGTTACTTTTACTTCGATGGACGTAATTCGGTCTAGACAAAAAATAATAACAATTTAATTAAACACAATAAATTAGTGGTTGTCGTAGTGTATAATATAAAAACCATACTGATGCATAAATGATAGACGTAAGCATAATACGACCACGAAAGTATACACAATATAAATATCACAGGAATGCTTTTGGCTGCTCTAACACAAAAGTTACAGCAGAATCGATTCGATTTGGGAGTCTCCATTGTTGATTCCGCTTGGCTGTAAGCACCATTTATTCACGAATTTTGCATTCCTAATACGACTACTTTCTTGTCCAGCTTAAAAAAGGAAAAGAAACATAATAGGTACATGCCGACCAAATAGCTTTTGTATATACAAGTATAACTTATAACTAATATGTGGGTGATAAATAAAATGTAACCATAGATAAGTAGAACGATAAAATACAAATGTAATTGTATAACTATTAATAAAACGAACGCTCTAGTAGTTGAATGAATTGAATGGTTTATATTTTTCATAAACATATAAGCAGAGATTGTGTTATCGAAAAATTGTAAAACCAGTGTTGCCACTAAACAGTATTTTTTATTCTTTTTTTTTTTTTAATAATTATGTAGGGCCATAATAATTAATGGGGGACTATAAAACAACCGAAAATAAAACAACCAAACGTATTTCAACCAAAGGATAAGTATTAAAATTCACACGAATTCCATAAACACAAATTTCCCAGTGTATTTTGGGCAGTTGATAAAAATCCTTAGAATAAACCCTGCACCGAGGTAAGGGTAATTCGATAATTGTTGTTCACCTCTGCTGTCACGTATTTTCATAACAACAAATTGAGATTTAAATATATATATATATATACCTACTCACTACAAAAGTGTTATACATTCCTATTGATATTTTGCAAAAAAAAAAAAATTGAATTGAAAGCTATACCCAGTTTTTTGTGTTCAGCGTGTTATCGGTGATTGTGTCTTTGGTGCATTCAAAACCGTAGAAATCATCAATTCGGCGTGTTGCAATGTTCGCGGTAATTTAGTGTGTTCCATTTCGCGATTAATTTTTTTGGAAAAAATGTCGCCACTTCACCTGCGGTGAGGCGTCGAAATATCGGTCGGCGCACGCGCCACACAAGTCAACTACGTGATCGTCGAATCAATGGGTCCGACGAAGAGCGTAGACAGCGTAGTTGGAAGCAAATCGATCAGAACCCGGTACACAGGATTCAACGTTTTATCAAATACTCGGCGAACGGGAAACTTTAAAAATTCGTTTGAAAAAAAGGTTCAGACGATCAAAATGTTTGTCAAAGTATCCATTGGACCATGACTCTGTAGTGATTGGTGAAATATAACAACTGTTTTAGCCGCGCACATCATCTAAGCTGTACAATTATCATACTAATTCATTGACATTAGTGCATATTCAATGTTATAGTATACATTATATTATATAATATACATATAGTTTTAATATAGATACACGGTTAACTCGCGGCGTAACGAGACCGAGAAAGAAGTTCAACGTATCGAAAGTTCGTTTCGTCGAAATTCGTCGTTTTAACGATGTTTCGAGAAAAAATTCTAAATTTAAATCAACACGCTACTAAAAACATACATGTATTTTCATTTAATAATATATTATAATGTACACAATATGCGTATTACGTAGTACCTACACATGTATAAAATACATAAGTCATAAGTAATGACTATAGTCTATAATGACTCATTACTATACGCATATATGAACAGTAATGTGAAGCATATTTCTGTACATTTTTCGTAGAACCATTATACATTTATCACCGTTTTATCTAAATAGCGATCATGTACTGCGATACATATGCCAGAAAATCTTCGTAATAGCGAGCTATTAAAAAAAAAAAAATGCATATATATATATATATTTATATAAATTCGTTTTTATTATTTATGTATTTTTCATTGAGTCATTATACACTAACAGACTACAGAAGTGTATCGAATTTTAAAAAAAAAATTGAAAATTCGTAATATCAATAGCTCATAAACTGTAAAAGTTCGTTACATCGCAAGACCTTTGGCCAAAAACACTTCGTTTTATCGAAGGGACTAAAATACCTTTAATTTTTCCTTACATCACCAGATTTTCAAGGGAACGATACTGTCATTCGTTATATCGAGCTTCGTTAAATCGCGAGTTGACTGTATAGTAGGTATACAAAAGATATGATCTACGACCATGAAAAATGAATACAGCAGAATTGTACAATAACAAACGTTCATGTTTAGTGGTAGCTACATACCTTTGTTTTCTTAGGTGCCCATTGAAAACCAACTTTAATAATAATTAAATATATTTTATATACAGATAGGTAATAAATAAATAATTATTACAATAACAATCGGACTATAATGCATTTATGTAAAGTATGTAAATTATGATATACGATGATAATAATTTGTTATCGATCTAGTAATCCAATATTGACAAAACTGTCAAATATTTTAGAAATGCTTCCAAAAAAGCTGTCCTAAGATAACGGGGCCACTTTTATAGATAATTTAGGGCCGTTCTCAACAACGTAAAAAAGGCGTTTATCTGATTCTTAAACTAAGTTTATGGCCGATAACTGACCACAAGTGGTCGATTATCTTATAAACTCTGTTTAAAAATCAACGTTTACTTTAGTGAGAACGGGCCAGCAACGATTACTAACGAAAAAAACGATTCTGAGAGGAGCTCGATTGATAGTGTTACTTTACCAAAAATATATATTATACTATGGTAAAATAATGGCATATGTTTTATATATTTTCTTCAATAATAATTGTTTAATATTGTACCTATTTTTCCGTATTTCCTACGTTTTAAAAAAATCGTATATTTCGTCTTTTTTGGTTTTCCCAATTATTATGAAAAATACTTTAGATATCACAAATAATTTTCTTTGTCAATGGCTATGTGTTAAAAAAAAAAATCGATCTCTTGTTATTTTTGGGCGAAACGGGTCTCGCCCAAAAAAATACAAGCACGCATCAGTAAAATCAAAAGATTCCTTTCTGCGCTTCGAACCTAAAATTGGGTCATTCAATATCATGTTCCGGTTTGGAGATTTCAAAATCTTGCAACCCTTTCTATCCACTAATCACTACGTCATAATATAAATAAATAATTCCCTATTATTGATTAGTTAGTGTTTTCAGGACGTGGCACGGTTGATATATACCTAATAATGATATATTATATTATAGGTATGTGACGGTTACATATCAGTTACTTACTATATAAATATACAAATGCGTGTAAATTAATTTATCAGTCAATGAACTCTTTGTTAAGGTGGGGTAAATGTGATCTTTTTTTTTTTTTAACGCAATAATAGGAATTTTAACTATTGCTCCCTACTTACAATCACCTGCAAAACAAATATTAATTTTTGGATAATAGGTATTATCGTTTTGAATTTGGTACTTACCTATAGCATACAATACTGCATGTGTATTTGTGTACGAGTATACTACCATATTTTATACGAAAGGCAGGTATCTTACTTGACAACAAATTTCCCACTTAATGTTAAGTTAAAATAAAATTATCAAACGTAACATTGATACTTGCATGTTTATTTTACCTATATGCAATGTATAATATAATAGGTATAGACATGGCTATTATGTATAGCACATTTATAGCCATGAGTATACAGGTGTTGATCAATTTCTGTATCATGGTTTAATTTCAAATTTACCCAAAAAATGTGTAGCTACAACATGTTGGGTTCGTAGACCAACTAATTAATTAGATCAATGGTTAAACAGTGTACCTACTAGTATATTTTACACCTCATTCGTACATTAATTCAGAGTTGCAAAGTGTTTTAAACAAAATGTTTAATACGTTTTAAACAAACGGTATTGTTTTTGATATTATTAATATCGTACATCATAATAAGTCTGTATGATTATATTAAAAACAAATTTGTGAAAATTACAATTGTATGTGTTATAAATGATATATATCATCGAGTGATTATTTTATCGTTAACCACTCATTATTTCGAAAAGTATTGACTATTTTTGAAAACTCAAGTAACAAATAGTTCTAAAATGTTACATTATCATTTTTCTTTGTCACTCTTATTTTAGTGAAAGTAGTGATGCATTGTTAAAACACCTTGCGCCGCACCGCCACACAAATGATGCTCCACGACCATCTTTTCCCCCGACCCAAATTTAAAAGTGGAACATCTCGTTAGACGGACATAGACGGAAATTAAAAATATCAACACCAACATTTATTTTCACTAATAAATTCCATCTATTATCTCCATCTGTTTATGGGATTTTTAAAATAAGTTGCTATTTGAAAATCATCAAAAGTAGGTATCTAGTCATTTCACCCACAAAAATTAGGGTGATAAAAAATAATGTAAATGCAAAGTTGTTTCTTATATTTTTTATAAAACGAATTCTGAAAAAAGTTAATACTTTCCAAGATAATGAGCGTTTAACGATAAAAGAAACAACTACCCGGTAGTTACCTATTTGTTGTTATTTTAATTTAAGTAATTAATTTGTATTTGTTGAAATCTCTGTGCATTTCAACAAATACAAAATTCAGATTTCAAGGTTTAGTATAATCACTAATATCAAATATGTATTATTTTTATGTATACATAATACACTATGCTGATTACTGAAAACTAAAATTAAATAATTATATATTCTACATAATAGATTGTACTACAATCATTGTTGTGTACCTATACAGTATACCTACTACCTACATTAAATACTAATACATCCATAAAAAGCGCATCAAGTCCTTCCTATATTTCTAGTAGTTCAGTTAAAATGTAAAACTTATAACTAAAAAATGTGCTCAACTGTTTAGACTGTAGAGACTAGAAAGTAGAAACTGGAACTATTTTTATATAACTATTGTTTATTTTTAAAGAGTAAATAGGTAATTAAATAATAAATTTGAATTTAAAAAATAATCATTTGGAACTGGCAAGTATTTAGTAAATATGTAATATATTTACAATTTCTACATAATTATTTACTATACTAAATTAAATTAACATTTGTTTATAACATTTTAAATAAAAAGAAACTAATGTTTTCAAAACAGTTTGGAACACTAAAAAAAATTTTAAAAAAAAAAACTGGTTTTTTGCAACTCAGTAAGATGTTTAATTTCGATATGAAATTATTTATATGATTACAAAGATGGTACACACGTGTTTTAGCTGTTCAAAAACTTATCTTAGGAGAATAGTTATTTTTATTGGGGCTATAGTATGTTTACAATAGGTACTCGGGTATATTTCTCAAAATATTCCGGTATTATTTAAGATATTTATGTATAATTATTTGAAATTTTCGGTTTATTAAAAACGAATGTGATTTTTTTCCTTTAGTAAAAAAATGCTTAATTATCTCTTTAACGCTTCCACCTACACGCTTCCAACCATGCACAATGGAGAGATCATTAAATTATTAATTCTCCAACAAGCAATATTTGCAAAGTGCAATAAAATAAACATATCAATGATATAAAAAAGAGAAAAAATATATAATATGATAATTTTAAAACGTTTAAAATCATGAATAAATTATAAATAGTAGATAATCATAATTATGTACAGTTGAGCACCTTAAGACATGTTTAAACTTGGACTAGGAGTACAATGGAAGAACATGGATTGGATGGATTATGTATGCTCAGTGTTCATAATTAAAAAATTCAACATGACACAAAATTTGTCGAAAAAGTAATTAAAAAATTTGGTTTGCAAAAACACAACTTACAGCTCTTGTTTTAAAATATTATTTGCTTACAAATGATTAACTTTCTTATTTTATAGTTTTTATGATTCGATTTTAAATTTTAATATAAAATATATGTTTGTTTTTTTATTTAATAAAAGCATCAGCAATTTTGTTAAATTAGTTGGCATACTAATTATTTAAAAAATTAATAAATATTGAATACAACAAAAGTTATTTCAGATTTTCGTTTAGATAGGTACCAAATTATTTCACATTAATAAGTTACTTCATGGTTATTTCTGGTGTCTCGGCCGGATAGTCACAGGATAACCGCTCTTACTTGTCATAATCACACGAATTTTTAATTTAATGTCGTTGAATTTAATATCAGTGTGCACACTATAATTTCGTAAAAATGTTGCTATGAAAACTATCATGTTCAACATGGCAAACTTTTCTCCTGTAATCAAGTGAGTTAAATAGGTAGGATAGCAGGGTCCATGAAGTGGTTTTGAAGATTTTAAATAGTATTTTTACCTATACAATTTCTTTTGCCTCCGCCAAAAGCTATAAAACTATATTTATTGCGTTTCGCGATATTTTCTGAATCGAAGTTGCCTGGATTAAAAGATCGAGGATTGGGGTACAAAGTAGGAAGATAATGAATGGCTAAAGGACATATTAAACACGTTGTACCTTTTGGCAATACGTAATTACCAGAAACTGAAACAAAACAAATAAATGAATGTGTAATTTTAGTGAAAATCGTATTATTTACTTACAAATTTTAATATCATCTTGAATTTCTTTCATAAATGCCAGTGTCAGGGGAAATAACCGAAGAGTTTCTTGTATAACTTGTTTCAAATAAACGAAATTGGCCGTGTCTTCAAATGTAATTGTTTTGTTGTCGCCTAATATTTTATAAATTTCATCGTAAACCTTGTCCTAAAATTATAATATCAACAATAAAATAAATTTTAGTTGTTTATGTACCTGTTTAAATGTCTGTGCGATTGATTATAAATCGCATTTTGATTCAATAGTAAAATTGTAAAAACTTTATTAACATCTCTTGACGGCTAATCCAAAAATTTAAAATATTTTGACAACTATTAATTACAATATAAATATGATTTGATATAATTACTTGGATATCTTGGTGAATGGCTAACAATAAAATACAAAAACATATTGTTGAACTAGTAGTTTCAATGCCCTGTAAATAATATTTTTTTAATGTTTAAACAACTGCGATTAGACATCTCAAGTTTTGTATAGTAAGTGTACATAATACTCGTATTTAAATATTTAAATGGTTTATATATTGTGAAAAAAAACTTACAGCGCCTAATATAGTTATAACTTCAGATTTAAAATCTTCGTCGGACAATTTATGATTACCGGATTCGTTTAATTCCATTAATATGTCCATATATACTTTCAATTTTTTTTCTAAACAATATAATTAAGAGCCGATAAAATTATTACGTACATCACGGTCTTCAACAGTGGCGTGTAATGTGGGAATATGTAATTATAACTTATAACTTATAAGCATTACTAAAGCAGTTATCACTTAACAAATTAACAATAAACAACATATGATGGTAAATTATTATTGTATGATAATTATTACTTATAATCATGGTGCCGGGTATTCTAAAGTCCCTGCCCCGTGGAGTATCTGGCCACGTAAAAAGCCGATAAGCCAAAAATAAGATCAATAACATAAATATCAAAAATTACAAAAATGTAATACAAATTAGTAATTACTAATTACATTTTAGATTCTGAGCAGAGCAAAGAATGTATTGGTTTCACTATGATGTTTAGTATTATTTTTTTTTTATCTGTGAACAACTTTTCTACCAGCAATTTTGCTCCGAATTTCAAGTCATAGGCGTGCGCTGACTTCAACTTCCGGTCGAGCCTGGATACAATTAGTGCCCCAATACTTAGACAAAACACATTACCCAACATTTAAAAAAAAGCTTGGTTTAATAAACAAAAATTCTATATAGATATTAAATTAATACATGAAGCATATATAATGTATAAATGTGTAATTATGTATTAACTACAATTTAAATACAATTATAAATTAATTCTCCTATTTTCCATCATTTTAAATTCGTTATAATAACCAACTATTATAGTCATAGTACCCACATAATATTTCGTACAGAATATTTTTGATAATAAAATTGATGTAATGATAGGTACACACAAATATTTTAAATTATATTTCACAATCACGAAAAATACAAATTTAATGATTTCCACGAACATATTAAAATATATACAAACATTTCACTATGGTAAGTTTAAATTTTACTATGCCCCCAAAAAAGTTCCGGTCGAGCCGATGCTCGCCCGGCTCGCCCCGTGCGCACGGCTATGTTTCAAGTGTAGCACTTTTTATAAAAGGAAACTTAACTGGAGTTGTATTTTAAGCATGTAATTTTTTGATTTTCCCAAGGGTTTATCATAATAAATGGAAAAAACGAAAAAATTTACGAAATGTAATATTTTCAAATCGTAAATATTACGGTTTTTTAAAACATACCTATATGTAACCGAACTCCACTTAAAATCGTTTTTCGCTATCAAAATGAATCGTTACGTTCAGATACATTGAATTCCCCCCTATATCCTACCTTTTAAACTCCTCATCTAAAACAGTGGCACACTTATCGTGCAAAGTATATCTGTATCTTTGTTTTATTATTATTTTATATTTATTACTCTATACAAATAGAGTTTGTATAGGAATGTGCAAACTATATATTATAAAACATGTTTTAGTATCAGTTTATTTTTAGGTACCTACACTAGTCTCAAAAATCTCACTCACTTTCGTCATCTACAGTAACGTCTGCTGTGCAGTTAATATTGGCTTTTTTAGTAGTTTTATTTTCCGCGTACATTTTTTTCATTTCGTCGATCATCTATACACGTTTAACATAAAAACGATACCATATATTCTGATAATTACACAATAAATGAACAAATTACGATTAAATGATATCTAGTATAGTCGTATTAGACACACACAGCTAAAGTCTGGATCGCACCAGTCATAACGTAATAATACTTACATAATTCGGTAGTTTTTGCGCATTTTTATAGACGTTTTGTTGTCCTGTAAATTTGCTGTAAATTGAATATATGAAATCGGGATACAACCAAGGTTTGAACAATCTCTCAGATATCAATTCTACCGCCCTAAAAATAATTTAAGTACTAAACATAATTTGATTTTCTATGCATTTAAAAGAAATTTGTATTTTACCTATCGAACAACTTTTTGAATTCGGCTTCAACTTTTGGCTCAATATCAAAATTACAGCCTAGTGTAGTTTCTTTAAAAAATAATAATAAATGAAACATATACTGCAGTTCATTAATTGGACTATAATAATTATATAACTATGACTATGACTATATAACATAATATTATGTTTTGTACAGTTAAATATACTTACGATAAATTGTCCTAAAAGTTGTATCCGATACATAATCTAAAAGATTAAAAGGTTGTGTTTCATTTAGTTGCTTCTTTAAATCCCTTATGAGAGCTTCGGAGTTCTCAACAATAACAGGGAAAAACATTTTCCTCAGATTTTCCGTTTTAAATGCGGGAGACAACATACGACGATGTATTCGCCATTTATCTACTGTAATCGTTAAAAAAGGATTATTGTTTTCAACACTTGTTTGTTGCAAATCAGTTTAGTACTCGAATCAATAAAAATATTCGTTTTCTTCATTATTATTTATTATTTAGTTCCATTGTCTTTATATACAGGGTGATTGATTAAACATTTTTTTGGTTAAATTTTGCATAATATTTAATGTTGTGAAAAATCTAAGTATTCGAAATATCGGCTCTAATTATATTACAAATTCCAAAAATCAGAATTTGAATGTATGCGAAATTAAACCAAACAAATGGGACTTGTATATTTAATGTTTAATGTTTAATTAAACCAATATGAATAAATAATAATAATAAATCATTATTATACAGAACCAGAGTTTCGCAAAATTGGATGCATCACTTTCTGTACTGTACTGCTTGTACTATTTATAACCTGTACCTAAATTATTATCTATAATAAAGATTATGGACAATCCGTTTTGTTGAATTCATTACTTACTTGTCGATTATACTAACACAGTTAACACTAAAAACGGACCAAATTTCTTATATGTTTAGTAAGTAGGAAGGAAATAATATGCGTTTTAATTTTTATTCGTTACCTTCAGTAGTGATGTAATATTTATTGAGTCGGAACATACGTATGCACACCCATGGATGATTTTTATTTGCAATATCTCGTGTGGGAACTTACATTAGCCTATTATATTTATATTCCTTCCTTATGAAAATGTTGCAACAATAAAATAATAATTATTAGGTAGTTTAATGTGTAATATTGTTTTGTTATTTTTAATTGTAAATAAATGTAAACATATTGTGTGGAATACACAATTTTGTTCTTTTTAATAGGTGCCAGAATCAAAAACGTTACAAATTCAACGTGAATTGATTTTTATGAACAAAATATCCAGTTATATAGAAAACCTTAATAGGTATAAATAGCTCAAATATTTTTTTTCGACGGGGGGACCTTCATAATATTTATTTAATAACTTATGAATACTTAGTTCTTTCTTGATTCGGATTGTCTAAATTTTAGATGAATACACCCGCCTCCCCTCTTATTTGTTAATAACTGTTGATAATAAACACACACATATATGTATATTATGTAAGTATATACTAACCTGGTGCTGTAAATAAGCCATCACCCAAAAGCAATTTACCAAAATTGAACAAAAAGCTTTTTTGCAGGGCTTTAGAACTATTTAAAATAATCTGTAACAAATTCAGATGCACAATTTATTATACGTAAGTAAATTGTGACATACTACAATAATCATATATTATAACGTTGAATTATGAATTAAAGTATAATTATTACTGAAATATTTAGTATTTCAGTCGAGTTCATTAAATAATTAATAAATAACAATTAATCATACTATAATTACCTGAACGTCCTCTGGCTTAGAAATGACGACCGTTAAACATCCACAAAACCATAATTTAAACGGTTCGCCGCCATAGGTATCGATCAATTTATTAATTTGTTTTATGATATCTACAAGTTATAACACAAAAATTTGTCTTATTATTATGTAATATAATGGTTTGAGTAATGCGATTTGTACTCCTTACATCTTGGCTTGCCAATGAACTGAAGCATCGAACCTACAATTGGGTATGCTGGAGGACCCGGAATTTTCGAGGCCAATTTTTCGTAGTGTCTACGGTTCCATATATAGACACACCACGATATTATAAGAGAGAAAATAACTACATTAACAATTAAATCAGATCCCGTGACTTGAAAGCCAAGTATATCAGGTCGTTCAAAAAAATAATTGACATCTTGAAGCATTTGCATCTTACCTGCTTTCACGGTCTAAAATAAAAAAAAAAATCATTCCATACATAAAATTGTACGTTCGATTTAAATCCGTGTTCATATTTGGAACAGACCTACTTATATAGGTATTATTAAATGTAGTGAAGCGTATTATACAAATTTTACAAATGTAAAATCGTTACTTTTTGAAACAAAATTAGTTCAATAAAAAAAAAAGCTGATGCAAATGGGAGTGCCATTGTTTTATATCAGAAGTTGGGGAGGTAGGACACATAGCTCGGTTAACATCGTGATTTGTTAAACGTAAATTGAAAATTGTAATTAATTTCTAACTATAAAATAAATTATAATTGGCAGTGTTTATTCAAATAATATTAAGAACATTTTTATTGAGCCAAACATTTTTTTTTACATAAATCTAAAAATAGTACACGAAATACAGTGATTTTTATCTAAATCTGAAATGTAAACGCTTATATCAACAAACCTCCGTCACTAGAGGTGAATTTCCCCTCTCCCCTATATTTTGTATTATAGATTTTTACAAAACAATATATAATATTACACAACACTATACTATAGGTACTACAATTTATTACTTCCATGAAAATGAAATTTGAATAATATAATAAAAATGGTAAGGCTGGGAATTGAAAGTTAAAACTCCCAAAAGAGACATCTTGGATACTAATGGCATGCACTTATATACAATTTCATTTCCATAACTTAATTTGGGATCAAATTAAAAAACACCCTCTTCCATAACGTAACAGCATGATTAAATTCATATTGAAATTGAACCATACTTTTATCACTTATAAAACAACTTTAATTCTCAAATTTTTGCTTTTTTGTTTCAGTGCGAAAGTCATTAGAAATGTTTAATGGTATTGAAAAATAATATATCGACGGAATTTTGTTAAAATGGAGCATACCACTAATACATATTTTTTCAGGGATCAAAAAAAACTGTTTTGTAAAGAAACAGCAAAACAGTTTTTAATGAAGTTAATCATAGAAAACAATAAAGTTAATCGTACTCATAATACCTTGTACACAAAATGCACACCCTTTTAACGAATCATTGTTGATTTAATTATATTTTAAAAGAACGCCTGGATATCGTTTAGTCGACATTATCTAAAAGCCTTACTTAAAAGCCTGAGGCATGTATAACATGTTAATTTGTATGTAATTAAATAAATAAATAAATTACCAACTTAATTTTCTGTGTTTAAATACGCTCTTTTACCAGTCTATGCTCTTAATTTTTCTGATATTTTTGATACCAACCACATATTTTTCGATTTTTAGTGGTATACGCCCTTTTAACAAAACACCATCAATATATAATATAATATTACACAATGGTCTCTATTTACGGGAAAAATTCATTTAAAGGCTTTATATTATATACATATCTATTACTAACCTATACTGACTATACTTCATACTTTTACACACTTGTCATATGTACTCTGTTCTATTCCAAGAGGTTTTTAAAACAGACTCGTTATAGGTATAAACACTAAACTAATTAAGTATACAGGCAAATATTTTAGAAAAAAAAATAACATTTATATTGGGTTTGTTAATAATAATTTGTAACTTACTTGAAATAGGTACTCAAGAGCGGAATCGCGTTTCTTCAAAGTTTCAACCACAACTCAGTAGGTAGGTATAGTAAACGCATAACAAATGGTTTTATAAAACCTAAACAGAAAGTCACTTGATCACCCACCCAACTCGATCACATTTAATGTATAAAATACCATATGTTGTTCTTAAATACCTAGGCTCATAGTTTGAATAAATTAACGTTTGTTTATAAATAACATTTATTGTGAAAATGAAATAATAAACAAAATTAAATAAAAACGTTTCATGGTAAGCAACGTTTTTCTCATAATTATCACAAAAAAAAAAAAATGTGTACTAGGTAACAATTAAATCACATAATTAAAGTCTACCCTAACTAAAAAAATATCAATTCGCATTATTTAAAACAGTTAATAACACACCATGCGAATAGAAATAATACATGATTGTGCTTAAACAATTACAAGATTGAAAAGATAACACAAACTTTGTATTAATTAGCTAATAAATTATTATTTATTTCAGTGATGGGTCCAAGTGGGCAGAGTTCTATAATCCACAGCTAATTTTTGATGGTAAAACGAGTCTTTTTGGCCTCTAAAATCGAACATCGAATGTATACAAAGCAGAAGATAGTATAATTATCTATAATTAGTGGCTGCTTACGTTCTTAATGATGATGATAAAGCTAACTTGCCACTAGATACGTTATATCACCCTACGTTGTATATTAGTTTCAATATTTCTACGTGTAGTAAACAAACTAAACTAAATTCCAGCTATTTTAATTCTAATAAAGCAGATTTCTACGACTTATACGCTCTAAAATCTTGCAATTGTAAAGAAACTGTACACAGTTCAGACATTAATGTAGCCATTTCTTGCTTTTATTGAACACTTAATACTCACATTAATTTATTTGTTCCTAAACTAATTTCGAATAAATCTAATTTCCCCTCTTAGTATAGTAGGTATTTAATAAGTATAATCATTAAAAAAAAAATTGCTCATAAAAATTTCAAACGCTATAAAAAACCCTAACGACTATATTATTTTTAAATTTTTACGTCAACGAATAAAAACTGAATCTCTTATCGCATATAATAACTATCTTAATCGTATTCAATCGAATTTGTTACTTGACCCAAAACGATGTTGGACTTTCGTATGTTCAAGAACACTAGGCGATGAGACTGCAAACTCTAATCAAGATATTGCTAATTTTTTTGAAAATTATTTTAGTTCTGTTTATTGTTCTAATATTAATTCTTACTCTCCAACTAACTCTTCTTTTCAAATAACTGTAGATCTAAATAATATAGACTTTACGATCGGTGATATTTTTGAAGGCTTAAGTCTTTTTAAACCTAAGTGCACATATTATGGCCCTGATGGAATACCCCCTATAGAGCAAAAACGTCTATATTATCTTCCAAAAATGTGTTAAGTCAAACAATGGAAACTCAGCCTATACTTAGGAAACACAGGAAATATACACAGGAAAAATGTCTAAAAACATCTAGCTAATTTAGTATATGTTGCTGATTTAATAACTTCTGATGAATATTCGATTATTTTTTCCCTTTAACCTAAACAGGGAAAAAACAAGTGCAAACAATTTTTTCCGAAACACGGGTTTGAACTCACGAACTTTAGGATGAAACTAGGTACTCATTTAGGTTTTAAGTACCATTCGGGTACGATAAACATACTCTAGAGATGACAATATAGAGTTATTTAACATAACATATAATATCCACATAATATCAAAACTTCAAAAAGCTATAATTTCGAAAGTTAGTCAGTCCACTTAACTCTGACTATGCCATCATTCTTAAATCGGCAATATACATATATTGAAAAAAAAAATTGAAAAATTATTATTGAAAAAAAAAATTTTTTACTCAACAATTTTCATCAAAATTTGGTATTAAAACTCCCTTATAAAAAAAAATAGTACATTAAATAAAAAACACTCAAATTTCTTTCTTTAACCACAAAGTAAGACTCTTAATGAACCTCTTGTTAAATTTTCAAGCATTTCAGTTAAGTCTAACAGTTTTACCACAGAGTACCTTTCGAATAAAAATTACGTACAAAACTCACAAAATTATAATGTCTATGAATAGCTCAAAAATGACTGTTTTTGAAAATTTGACCACATCTAAAAAAGCAAATATAAGTTTTCTACCCAAATTTCAAGTCTCTAAAAATATTTTTAACTGAATTACAACAAATAAAAAAAAATGAAAAATAATAAAACCATTATTTTTGTAAATTTCCTGTTTTTCTTATGTTTTATCTTGGTTTTTCCCAGATATTATGAAAATCGCTTAGAAAATCAAAAAATGACTCCCAAAAGTACCATCTGGATAATATTTAGTTTCAGAAATGGTGCCGCGCGTATATATTGTATATTTCTGGTAGAATTTTTGTGCACAATATATAAAAAAAAATAAACATCTTAGTAAAACTAATAAATTCTTCGCTACACTCAGAATCTAAAATTGTATCTATCATAATTTCTACAAAACTAAAATGAAAAACCGTGTTTTATCTACTATGGGAAACGTATCGGTTTCATTGTGTACAGCATGTACAAATGTGTATAACGTGGATACTGCACATTTATAGATTTAGCTGAAAGTGACATGTGAGATTATTTAAATCACGTGGGTTATCTGTCAATTAACTGACAATAAAATAAAATGCAATGAATAAATATTCTTAATATAAACTGTATTATGTAAGTTTATAAAACTTAATTATGTTTCATATGAAAATTAATTTTCTTGGTCTGAAAATATGAAATAAATTAAATAAATCGCAAGCAAAGCGAGCAATTTCGAACTTAATAATTGGTTTTCTACACATGTGGCTTTTCATAAGCTTGACTGACCCACATTAATAAAATCTTTTTATTTTTTCTTCAGATATAAGTTTAAGACCATTCAAATTTGATCTACATATTCATATTTTGATGAAAGTATGACAATCAAATGTTACCAACATAAATGGTGATTTTTAAAGTGATTTTATGAGATAACTGACCAATCTCTGTTCGTTCTCTGGGTTTAAAAATCTGATTAACAACTTAGTTTACTTTGGTGAAAGGTACCTTCAACTATTATACAAATAATCGGGTTAGGTTGTGTATTTAATAATATTTGCTGAAGACTGTTTAGTTGAAATTTATTTTCGTTAAATGTTTAATTTTCTTATTACTACTATGTCAAAAATAAAAAAGATAATTTGGATAATAATAAATATTAATAATTCAATTCACTATTTTAAAACTTAATTGCAAACAATATGGACAAATTATTTATAAAAATATTAAAAAACCAAAGTTCTATTCTTATTGATTATTAAATAAAATATTACAAAATAATCAGAATTTCAGAGTATTAAAAAACAAAAATTAGTTTAAGGAGAAAAAAATTAAAATAGAAATTATACGCCAATCAAGTGTTTTCTATACCAAAATCGGGCCCTGAAGTCATCTGAACAAGTTAAAAATGCCGCTGAATTTGGAGAATGCACTATTGAACGGATTGGACCATTATGACCTAGATAAAATATATATAATAATTAAAATTTTGAATACACTTAAAATTAATACATTTTAATATATTTAACTAAACCGAATTAACCTAATGATAAAAGTTGTTGTCGAGAAGCATTCCGTGCATTCCAGGCACACAAAGATGTAGTGGCTTCATCTGGGTACATGACATACTCTTCTGTATGATTAAACAATGCTTGTGTGCGATGCTCTTGTTTACCTATTTAATTACATTTAATATTTATTGTACACAAATATGAATAAAATGCATAACATATCACCTGTTGTTCCAGCTCCTGTATATGCTATCAGACATCTGCTAGTAGACAACTCCCAAAGTTTTACTAATGAATCTTTACCAGATGATAATATATACTAAAAATTAAAAAAATAAGATATAATTTAAAAATGTAAAATATCACCAAATTACCTTTCCATTTCTTGAAAATGTTACAGAACACACTTGACTACCATCATGTGCTTTGTCAAATGTGTTTACACATTTATTTGACACAGCATCCCATAATTTAATAGAACCATCTCGACTAGAGGATACAAAGAATCTAGCACTTGGTTCATACCTGATGCATCACAATTAACAATAAATATATCAATCACATAGCTGTCAAATATTAAATAAATTATATACTTGATAGACGTAACTGGACCAGTATGTTGATGACTAGGAAGTGAGCAAACATAACATTGAACAGTATTTATATCATATAGTCTAATAACAGGGCTGTTTGTACCCATTACTAAGAAGTCTCCTAGAGGATGGAAACTTAGACATGTTATCGGTTCGACATCCTAGAAAGCATAAAAACAAAATTGTTAACATTTAAGGAGGAGATGTTTTATTTATTTATTATAAAATATATGGGCTGAGCTCTTTGAACAATTAGGTTTTGTCTCTATCATATTTGTACATCAATCATTATTCCAGTACGATTTTATCTAGTAACACAAAGACTTAAATTTGTCAAAAAATGATTTTTAACCAATTGGTTTAATACACATTTATAATATGTTTATTTATGAACAAAATTGTAAACCATGTTATATTTAATTAGAATTTCAAAACAAGTCTTTAAGTTTTTGTAAACCTTATCACATCAACAGATTAGAACTAGGTACATATAATAGATAGATCAGAGACCTGGAAACTTAGGTTTAGACCTTTGGTATTAAGCATCAGAAACAAGATTTTTTTTTATTAAAACATTAAATATTAATTATTATAATAATGTGTTATGTTATACAACTTATATCATGTTATAAGATTGAATATGTTTACTCTAAAACACTACTTTTTTTTAAGGGTACTACAATTTCCTATACTCTCTAATTGTTATTATTATCTACTTATTTAAATACAGTGAAATGATTGACATTTTGATAAATTTGGGATGTAGAATTAGCATGAATCATACAAAGGATTTCTCAGGCCAAAATTTCACTTGGGAAGTTTTCCCCAGCACATGATAATATTTTCATATGGTTAAAATATATCAAATATCAACTTATGAAGTATTAAAATAAAATTATTGGTATCATACATCTCCAATTAGAACTCAAACAATAAGCTATTGCTATATTTTACAAGTGATAAACAATGATTTAATATGTAAAATTATTTAAATACATCATGTCCCATGAAAATACACATTGTAATATTGTCGTTGATAATAAAGATAATCAAATTCTGTTTTTTTTTTTTTTATATTACTCACAGGGATAAAGACTACAAATATTTATATTGCAATTAATTTTTCATGCTTTGATAAAAAAATTTTATTTTATTATTTTTGAAAAATTTGATTTATAAACTTTTTATTTTCATAAATTTGTCATTTTTAATAATTTTTTAAAGTTCAGAGAACAGAACATATAATTATGCAGCATTACAGCCTTCTATAATCACATTCTCTGATTATTATTATTATTATTACGATTAATTGACTATGCATTTCTTTTTTTTTTAAAAAAAAACTATTTAAAACCACAAATTTAATGAAAATAAAAAGTTGATACGTCAAAATTTTCAAAAGAATGAACTCTATGAAATGGCTATCTTCAAATATTTCAAAAATAAAAAGTTATTTTTTAAATATTTTGCCAAAACATACAAAATTGATTGCAGTATAAATATTTGTAGTCCTTATCCCTGCGATTAGAAAAAAAAAAAACAGAATTTGATTAATTAAAATAATTAAATTTCCTAATCAAATAACCTTCTGAAATATTACAATGGGTATATCTTTATAGGAAACCCTGTATTACTTATTAATAAAACATACACAATTATATTACAGAATTTTAAAATGAGAAATTAATTTTGTTTAAAATATCTTACATTTATTGTTTTGAAAGCTTTCTTCACAGATGTTTTTGAATAGTCAAAAAGCTTAACATGACAATCACGAGAACCTGAGGCTAAAATTGGTTTATTTGGATGGAATTCTAAACAAGATACTTCTTCCAAATGATCATACAATGTCCGAATTACTGGATGTCCCTGTCCTTCTTGATTATCAGTATTACCAAGATCATGTGCTTTAGCCAGCATTCTTTCAACGTCCAAGATCTATAAATATAATTTCAAATATGTATAACATTCAAAATATAAGTTTTATTTAAATCCATAAAATATTAAGAAATATAATTACTTTAATTGAAGCATCACTACTTCCTGTTGCGATTAACTGTCCATCAGGACTAAAAGCACCCGCTCTACAGGCACCTTTGTGGGATGTTACATATACAGTTTCATAAAGAGATGGTTCAGGAGCAGTACAACTAACATTGGTTTCAAATTCCAAATCTAATCAATTGTTAAAAATCAATATAAATCCAGGCATAAATGCAGTTTAACTCTTGAGCGATTTTTTAGAATTTTTTTTCCAAAATGTATTTTGTATGCTTAATTTGATGGCACTTTCAAAAAAATTTGTTCAAATTTCATTTGGAAGTTATGGTAAAAAAACTTTAAAATGCTTAATTTTTCTAAAAATCGTGTTTTTGAGTTTGAAATACCAAACATTTATATTGTATATATTTTATTTTTATATTTTTGACATTTTTTTTTAGAAATGGTAGTAATTATATGCTTTGATGAAATCAAAATTCACCAATTGAACTTACTTTTTATACTATTGTTAATAAATCACGTAAAATCTAATTTATTGATAATGTTATTTCAATCATTTGCATAAAGAAGTTTTTGGTGAAATCAGAACTAACTAATATTTTTTTCGATATTTAAGCAAAAACACCAATGGGTTGTTTCTTTGGCAGTAATTGAAAAATTGCAATCTTAGACGCTAATTGCCAAACATAACACATTCAAATGCGTTTATGGACATCCTCTCTAGTTATGTTTGAAAGTTAATTGCATTAACATATATGTATGGAGATGTCGAGATTATTCTGAGAATTTATATCAAAAAAAAATAAATTTTAAAACTTTATTAAATATTTTGATATTTATAACAATAATTTGACGTTATAATCATTGTATTAATTTTACCATGCCCCTCAGCACTCCCTCTCATCGGGGTTTTTTTTTTTTTTTTAATTTTTTTAGCTTCAGTAAGTGAAAAAAATAAAAATAGTATTAAATAAACTATATGTTTTCCAAAGGTAAAATGTGATGTTTATGTATCCATAAGAAAAGATGCATTTTTCCATAATTTTTCCTATTACTTCCAAATCAAAAAATATTAGTTAGTTCAGATTTCAACAAAACTTCTTTATGTTATTACACTTTAAATGAAAAAAAAAGTCCAAAAAATCAATTGCAAATAATATGCAAATGATTGAAATAACATTATAATTGAATTTTACATAGTTTATTAATAATTAAATAAAAAGTAAATATGATAGGTGAATTTATATTTCACCAAAACTATAAGCATATAATTACTATCATTTTTAAAAAAAATTCCAAAAATATAAATGTTTAGTATTCCAAACTCAAAAACAAGATTTTTAGAAAAGATTTTTAACCATGACTTCTAAACAAAGTTTGAGCGAAAGTACCATAAAATTAAACATGTAAAAACACACATTTAAGAAAAAAAAAAAATTTCTTGTGAGCTAAACTGCATTTANAGCGAAAGTACCATAAAATTAAACATGTAAAAACACACATTTCAGAAAAAAAAAAATTTCTTGTGAGCTAAACTGCATTTATTCCTAAATCTATATACCTAATATATGTAACACTTTTATAAAACATACCAATGCCTGGTCCAATTAACATTTGCTGAATGGGATTTAAGATTAAAGCTTGTTCAGATTCCTTCTGTCTATCAGTTTCATGCTGTAAACCTTTTATCACTACATTCATAAGTCGATCTGATGGCGAACAAGGTGGGTCAGCATTTATTTGAGCAGCTAAGCTCGAAGCAATTGTTGAATAACCATCATAAAACAGTTGGCTAAATTAAATCAAAACTTTTTCAAATTTAAATACTATGTAAAATATTATACTGGAGTTTACCTTATGATAAGTCTATATAAGTTATCCCTATTCTTAATACACATTTCAGGTTTAGCATTGTTGTTTTCGGTTCTCATCTTGGATTTGTATTAAATTAAATACTACTTAAAACAAAAACGAGAAATTAGGTATTAAATTAATATAAACAATATTCTAAGCGAAGTTTTTTATAATCATAACTCAAAATTCCAAAATAAATAAAATTGAAACATGAAATTTTTAAGAACAAATAAATCTTTTACATAAACAAACAGAACTGAACGGCCACCGGGTAGTTTAAAAAATGATACCACTATCAACATTATTTTCTATGGCATGTTTTTAATTTTAATACCGAGTTATTTACATTATTCTAAGAACGTGTTTATAAGTCTCGATTTGATAACATTAAAGATTAAACATGCTCAACACTTCACTATATCTTACTACTACTATACACAAATGCTGAAATGCAACATTTTTAGTATTTACTAATTTTACTAACTAGTAATTACAACTTCTACATTTACTATAAACAACCAAGTCTATTATTTTGCATTACACATTAAATTTCCTTTATTATGTTCTTTTGTTTGTATACATTTTCTTTTCCTCCTTTGCCTTTATTCCAAGTGTTGAAATGTCAGTCACTCTCGTTTTAAACTTCCATATTGCACAATCTCCCATCTTGCATACACCGGATGTCATAATATCATCTTCAATCGCATCCAACTACCTTTTTTCGCTTACCTCTTACGTTTATTTTTATTACAATTCTTACTGCTTCAAATTCCTCTCTCCTCATGACATACTTAAATTATCTGTCTATTTGCTATTTATTTATTAGGTACTTGTCTATTATTAAAGCCAGGCAAGCTCAAGCTACCACTTATATGTACTCAATCCTTATCCTTCTTTCAACAATTCACTCATCCACCTAAGCATTTTCATTTATGTTCTAATTTTCTAGCTACCGCCAAACAACGTAACCATACAACATGGTCTCACCACAATTGTAGAACTTATATTTAAGTTTCATTGAAATTCTCTTATCACATAAAACACCCAATGCTTCCATACACTTAATACTATGTTTAAAATCATGAAAGCCATTGTTCCTTTGCACCAAAGATCTTATAACTCTTAAACTCACCTATACCTCGCTTATTGTAATTAGATGTCATCATGTTCCTCCAAATTCATACTCCGATTTGCTTAATTACTTTTACTTATATAGACCCCTTTTCTTTCAAGTGCTACTTGTCAAGTCCATACCTCAAGTTAATTACACCTAATTTGCTCCTATCAAAGCTTTCATCTGCAAACTTACACCATGGTACATTTAGTTTTACCTGTTTCCATGTAAAAGCAAGATGGGACAATCTTTAAGTCTTATTTCAAACTTGTACTATTCTTGTCTTTATAAATATATCATTAATGTTTGTACCGCTGTACCACCACATTGATAGAATCATTTTTTGATTTTTCTAGTAATTTTCTGAATAATTGGTAAAATGTACACAATAAAGGTTTATTTTTTACAATTGGATATTAAGATGTACTAATTAAATTTAATTAAATAAAAAAATAAATGAACATATAATTTAAAATTATTCTTGTAAATTAAAAATAATGGATATAAATTTACAGTAAACATATATTATACAAATTATTATTTATTATTTTTTTTAATTATTTAAAACAGTAGCACATAAGTTTTACTCTTGCTGTTTTTAAATTTATATTATAAACGAAAAACACAAAACTTTTTTTTAGTTATTTCCAAATTAAAAAATATATAAAATTTAAGTAAATAAATGGTAAAATGTAGTACCTAGTTCTTAAATAAAATACTTTAAATACTCTTCAACATAAACATACAATATAACAATGATTAAATGATTGCTATAAAAAAGTAGGTACATAACATGAAATTTAAACAAAGTATTTAGTTCTCCATCTATACGTAATCCGCGGTTGGACTTAATGCTTACAAATGCCATAACAATTTACATATAGAGACAAATAGGTCCAAAATTTATCTCGGAAACTAGATTTGAAATTGAATTATATTTACTGATTTTGATACGTTAGTGATACGATTAAAAAAAAAGGATTAGTTAATTTCAAGATCACATGCGAGGAAGTACCTTTTTTAAAAAATAAATATCTGGGTAACAACGTTTAACTGTGATAGGAACAAGGATGGAATTGGGGAATTTTTTATTTTTTGAATTACTGTGTAGAGCAGCTAGTGGTTTATACAACTTTTTTATCAAGTATAATATACATTAAATTAATGAAATTAACATATAATATTATAGTGAGGTACTCCATAAATTAGATATATACTCAATTATATTATTAAGCACATTCTATGAACAATTTAAAAAAAAAAAAATTATAATATGTATTTAACTCGTACTATTCATTGTAGTACCAGACTTTTCATGACGACTTTTATACTTGGCAACTTCACGGCATACTTTTCTAATGGATGATGGAGAATATCCTAAATCTAATAATTCTAGCAATGCACTGGAAACAAAAACATTTCACATAATTAAAAGTTTTACATTGACAAATAATAGTATTGAATGAGTACATATTTAAAGTATGGGTTACAAGGGTTAACTCTCCAATTTGAAATTAATAAAGAAGAGAATGAGATATTATAATCAAAAACATCTTAAAATGCACAAGATTACAATAATTATATAATAATATATAATAATATTGAAAATGATAAATAAATTACTACATACCTCACAACATTGGGTGCAATTTTGACACCAGCCAATTGAGCAAGCTCAACAAAATCTGATACATTGCTGGATTCAGTTCTAATAAGAGTTTAAAAAAAAAAGTAAAAGACAAAAATTTATGACAAGAAAATTAAAAATGAAATATTTATATAAATTACATAAACATAAAAAGTAAGAACTAACAATAAAATATTTAGGAGACAATAATAAAATATTACTTTACTGGAATTGAAATTCTTAATATCATTATTATTACAACTATATTTTAACATCAAAAAAAAAAACTAAATTTACTCACAACAGCATTTTAACACATTTTGTTACCTACCTATATTATTAATAAGATATTTACTGTATCTAATTTTAAGTTTTATAAATGTGCATACTGAGTGTATAAATTACACAAAGTTATTATAATGGAAATACTTTTTAAACTATTTTTACAAGTGATTAATAAAAACTTAAATTATATTCCTTATTTAATACAAACATACAGTATATATTATATATTACACACGTATGTATATTAATTATAATATTTTATTAATTTATAATAAATGTACCTATATCAACATTAATTAAGTAGATTATCAATAAAATAAAAACATCTACTATTAAGCTTTATCTTCTTTTTCTTTATTGTATCGTTCTAATTCTTTAAGAAACTGTGCTTTAGGTTTCATTGTATTAGGTCGATCTCCGCGACACTTGGGACAAAACCATTTTCCTTTCGGTTTTGTCGATAATGAAACGCACGAAAAATGAAACCATTCTATTGGACACAAATCATTATCACAACATATCATCTCACCATATGATATCTGATCACAAAGACAGTATGTTGGCTCATCTGGATCAACAGCTAGTTCTTCATCGTCGTCTATTGAGGGTGAATTATCCTTTTGTTGTTTCTTATATTTGCCTTTCTTTTTAGTTTGTTTTTCTGTTTTTTGAGTTTTTTTAAATGTCACTTGAGATTGTACTTGTGCCGTTGCTGTGGCTCTTGGTAAGGGAGTATGAGAATGTTGTAAAGAAGAAATTACAACTACATCATCAGAAATTTCTTTATAATCTGGTTCATCAGCTCTATTGCGTCGAGGTCGTTTTGCGATTTTTAAATCATTATTAGTTTCATTGCCATCATTATCAGTGTTGCGTTTTTTCAGTTCTTTAGTTGCAGAACTAGTACTGGTACTAGGTAAGCATCGTTCTTTTGAACAACTACTTGTTTCCGGTTTATCTTTGATATGTTGCTTGGGAACATCGGGGTCCTTCATGGAGGCCAATTGTCTTTTACCATTTTCTAAACGCATAACTTTATCTTCAGCTAGGTCAGATATTGTTTGCAAAGTTTGAACTTTTCTATCACCTATATCTAATCCAGTCACTAATAACTTGGTCAATTTTGCAGCATTTGCTGACGATACATTTCCTTTAAAACTTTCTGTCAAATTTTTTACTTTCGACATCATTTCTTGGAAATGCATATCAAAATTTCGCATTTGTGTAACATGACGCTGTATGTCCAAAGGTAGGTTTTGTGTACAATCAACATACTCGTTATAAAACTCGATTGATTTATTCATTCGGTTCGTCATTTTCTTATATTATTCGACAGAATACAGAAACCACAAACCTCAATAGGTATTCACTACGTATTTCGACAGATTTATCAAATAGAAAAAAATTATAAAAATCGAACTTACTTCTGTAAAACCATATTGTCAAGTAGATAAAAAGCGGTATCTCTGTTAACTGCAAATTAAATTCTAAGCTTACGTACGTATTAATATTACTCGAGTAAAATGACTATAATATAGTATTTATATACTATTGATATAGTATATTAGATAAATAGTATATTACAATATTGATTTTTCAAACGGCTACCAAAACGAAACACTGTAAGCTAAATATGGCTGACGACAAGACGCAACAACACGATTTTATGATAATAATGTTGATAGGATGATAGCCAATGAGTATTGTGATTTATGATTGGACCATGCAATACTGTAAATTAGGCGGGAACTGCATACCACTACATTACAGTTGGTACTTTGGTTATTCTGATTTTTTTCTCATGGATAATAAAGAAATGAAACGGTCATAGCTGCTGGCCACTCCTATAACATGTATAAGAGAGGCGATGTTCCCGAAAAGGCGGTAAACTGAGGCGATTTATTATTCATCACTATATAGATAAAACTTCTCACTTTATGAAACTGTTACTGTACTCGTCCCTCTTGAAACACTGATAAGGTAATATATGAATACCCTAACTAGTCCTTCTATATCTTTATTATCTATGGTTTTTCTTAATATAAATATTGATATTATCTACTACAAACCAAATTATGACTAATAACTCGAAACATTTAATATTATATATTTATTTTTTTATATTCTAAGCCAAACGAGGAATATATTGGTTTTACAATGATGTTTATCTATTTTTTTATACTGTGAACAAAATTTCTCCTAGAAAACTTGTTTTAATGTATCAAATGGAGCAACTTTTCTAAAAGGAAATTTTACCTAGTTGGTACTTTTGGTAGACCATTTTTTGTTTTTTCAAACGGTTTTCATAACGATTGGAGGAATACGTAGGGATAAACTAATAATATTTACTTTAGGGTCAAAGGAAAAAATTTAGTGTAATGTATAATTTTTTTTTATAAGAATTTTAATAGCTATCAAACTTTGACTAAAATCGTAAATATTATAACGGTCTTTCAAAACATGTATAATTGAATTCCGCTTAGAATCGTTTTTTCGTTGCCAATGATTAATCGTTGTATACAAATATACCTACTTTACATTTTCTTACCAACAGTAGTGGCCCGCCCATCGTGCAAAGTATGTCCGTCTTACTCTTCACCACTGTATCGACTCACCGTTATTTTCATTTTCACCGCGAGACAGGCCCGGATTCAGAGAAGTTATGTCCCCGGGGCCCATAAAGGCTATATTATTAGTTGAATCAAATAGTTGATGATCATTTTTTTCCTATTTGTTCCATTTTAATAGAATAAGTCTCCTTATTAATATGAGAACCCAAACTTAATTTGGTAAGAGTCGTTTAGAGGTGTCCTAAGAACCATTTCCAAAATTTGGCAGTAATCGGACGAATTCCAGGCTAATTCCTTTGGAAGGGATTTTATAGTGTCAAACTATGAAGGGGGCTTGTGTGAGGTGCTAAGCCAAATTGTTTTCTCTCTCGCTGGATATCAAGGTGATTGTCTAAGAAGAAAGACTATCATCGCTCCTCTCAGTGTTAAATCCAGATATTTCAACAAAATGTCTTTATTAATTGTACAATACTTAGCTGTTAAATTTTACATACAAGAGATTAATGAAAAAAAGTGAGTTACCTCACCGAAAAATTGTCTGGATTTAAAACTGCTTTCCCGCCCTCGAGACATGGCAGAAACACAAAGATCGTAAAAAAACTATAGTCGGAATGATAAAAAAAAAATTACAATCCGTGACTAATTAAAGTCAACTTAAACGTCTAATACAAACATTGGAAATATTAAAGCGTTCGTGACATGACAAATGATTTTTCAAACCGAAAAAAATCTCGTTGTTTGGCTACATAAAATAATCACTTCATTAGTATATACTATATAATAACTGGTTGTAGGTAAGTAATTTGCAATAACATGTAGGTTGTTATATTACCTTTGTATATTACTCAATAATTTCGCTACAGTATATAGTAGAATCAATTTGACAAAGTTCTGTTACATACTATAATAATAGGTAGGTGGTATCTATCAGCCATACAATTTACTTACTTTGGGTATATATTCTATGAGTATACAAAAAATTTGTATCATTTTTGTACTAAGATTTCTAAGAATTTGTTTTAGGCTATCCTACGTAAGTTTTATATTTTAGATTCCAAGCGTAGCACACTACCACACTAGGCCAAATGTTAAAAGTAGACAAAAATGAAATAAAAAACCCATTTCATGGGTTTTGTAATAAATTAAGATTACATTTATTGTACAGATAATGTTTGTTGCGGTAATTGAAGTTTTTTCCGTCATTAAAACTTAAATTATTAAATGACGATTGTGTACCTAGGTCCTAAGTATGTGCGCATATAAATATTAATTAATTTTGCGTTTTCTGTTTGTACATGCACATTGAGCTATCGTGTAGTTGAATTTCTTACGTTTTTTTTTTTTTTGAACTTTTCAAAATTTATAATGTTATCTCACGAGGTAAAGAATATTTTACGATGCATAAAATAGAAATAAGTTGTATATTTAATAAAAAATCATTCTATTAAAATGAACAGTTCTATAATTCATTTTTGTTGTTTTTTTTTAATATTCTATACACATATACTTCTCAATAGCGTCGAACCCTATATGATAAGGTTGGGCCTTAGCCTGATTCCTTTTAAAAATTAAGTATAGGGCCACTTCATTTTCGGCCAAAGTTTGGTTGCTAAACCGTATAAATACTTCATTACAGAAATAAAGCCTATTTTAACTATAGATTTGGATATAAAGTGGACTGTGTTTAGTTATTGGAGCCTTTTGATATGTATTTCGCCCGACTACCTTTTTAGGTTTTTAACGTCATTGAAACAGTAGTCCTTCTTATTAGTGTTGATTAGTGATGTATGAAATCTATGTAATATTATCAGAAATAAGATCTATTTAAATAGATATAACTTTTAACTGAAAATATTTGCACGATTTTTTTTAACTAAAAGAATATTACCTAGGTATTTGAAATTTTTAGAATGTCATCTGTAATATTTTCCGACAAGAATTATCCAAATTATTATGAAAACTTCCATGGATATCAAAAAACGATTTTCTTTGAAAGTAGCTACATTGTAACTCTATATTAAAAGGAACATAATCGATATCTTGCCGTTTTTCAATTGGAGCAATATTTCTGATAGAAAGCATAATTTATTTGCAAACATTTTTTTTTTAATGGCGTTAGACCTGTTTGGCTCTTAAACTATTTGAAAAAAGTTAAAACTTTTCGAGATAATGATAGTGTTGTGGGATCGATCACTTCATACACATTGATATATCGGTACCATTTTGAGTTAAGATTATATCATGTTCAGGGCCTGATTAACCATTAAGCCGAATAGACTGCAGCCTATAGGGGTTCCGCAAAACAATTTGTTTTTTTCTTGCAATCGATTTCTTTCAAAAAACTAGCTTTATATATCAGCGACCATATTCGTTTTTTTAGGACGACAATAATTTATAGAGAGGGAGAGAGAGAGAGCACACTCTCTTGAGTTGCAGAGTCGCAGGTTTACGAGAATCCAGCGATGAGAAACGAAAAAAGTCACCGCCAGATGTAGCGGACCCATTAATCGTGCCACGATTACGTTCCAATACACGTTTACTATCTGCAGTATATCGTTATTGTTTGAAAACAAAAAAACAATATCTGCAATGGGTACCAGTGTTCCGGTCTTCCATCGCCCGTTCCGCATATATTATATTACGTAGGTGCCTATAAATAATTCCACGCGCTGGACGAACGCGAAATTTTACTTTTTCCCGTTCTCGCGTCACTCGGCGACTATAATATAAAACATAATAGCATTACGATCGCGTTAAAGTCTTTTATCCCCGCGTACGCTATAATATTCATTATGCAAATTGTGCATATTATTATTACTATGTATAGGTATTATAACAGTACCTGTACTTAATATAATATTATTACGGCTAGACAATGGTGACACGGGTTCGATGTCCCCATCGCCGCGGCGTATTATTACAATTATTGTATTGTAAAGACGTACTCATTGTCGGTGGTTTTCCGTGCACTCCTTACGGGAACTTTTATTTCCGAAAAATTCTTCGGGCTGTGTGAAGAACAGTAATAATATTATAATATACGTCGGCTGCGTTAATAATAATAATAATACGGTACAATATGAAGAGAAAAAAAAAAAGTGTGTGTATTGTTTAAGACTGCACGCGTGTATACAGTCGTACGTAATGTACCCGCCGCGACGTTGGGTAATATCGAAACGTTTTCTTCCCACAGCGCGACTATAATACGCGCGCGGTTACTCTAATTATAATTGGGGGAAAAAAAAAAAATAAAATAAAAACCCCAGAAAAAAACACGGTCTCCGGCCATACGCAGAGGTGTCTTTCCATTATATTAACGTTAATAATGCGCTGTTATATGCGCGCACGACACGATCGCGGGCGGCTCGATTCTCACGTACGCGGATTTTACGACGCGCGCGTACGCGAAAACATACCTACACACGTATGCGTTTCGTGTAATATATACATATATAGGTGAAGGTGAGAATAATGATATTATAATATCGTAATGCATACGGGCGGGTTAACCGTCAACGCGTACACGAGACCCAGCGAAAGTGTCTTGGCCCGGCATTATTACGCTGTACAAATATAAGGATATTTAGCTTTCGGTTCGACACGCGGACGGTGGTAGGAGGAACGAATGTGTGCCGGAGAAAGACACCCGTGCACACCTAACAACAATAATAATAACGATATTAACGATAATAATGTTGTTGCGGGAGCCGCCGTACGGCGATACCCGGTCACCGTGTGTAACCCGG